TTGTGTGTAATTAGTTTTCAGGGAAAATGTACAAGGAAAAGAAATTGACTGCAAATCGAACACTGTTTGCAAGCAAACCGTAGCGGTTATCATAACAAATGACTTGTTTCAAATGTGTAGCCGAGAATAGTCCAGTCCCCGATGATGCCTTTGGTTATGCATATGTTTATGTATATACGAAGAGTAATAAAACAAAAAGCTACTTTACGTAAGCTGATTGATTGTTCATTGATTCGTACGTATGATTAGCTTAGTAACTAACCATACATGACATCGTTTATGTCAGGACTAATGATAATCGTGTTGAATACATAGGTATTGAATGATATTCTGTTAGAATACGAAGTAAGAAAATAGCAAACCAGATATAAAACTAAATGTATATCAAACACGATACTACAGTATTATCAATAATAAATCACGGTTTATGGATTATATCTATGATAATACGACATCAATGGTTGGACTCCATCATGACAATGCTCGCTAACGCAACATACGCTATTTACGTGTCGCACTTGCTCAGAATATCGCAACTTCCGTGATAGATGTCGAATACTGACGTACACACGTAAAACACAGGGTTTCCGTGATAGATGTCGACTACTGACGTACAAACGTACAACACAGGGTTTCCAAAGATGCAGGTTGATAAAGACTATGGACAAGTTTTATGGTTGCCATCATAATTTCATTGGTTAATATTGTATTTCGTCGTGTGCTATAAAGGTCGATGTGATTATTATGCTTATATGTGTGTTTTGTGGGGTGTTTTTTGTCACTACCAGAGTTCTAGGTATGAGGACGTGACATATCTTTGATTTGACCCAGATTTACATGACGGTTGTCGTAGATGAAAAAGAAAACGCTTACCCTTCCGGAACACCTAGTCTTATTCCCCTTGTACTCTTTCAAGGGTATCCATTAGAGTTTTCCTTTGTTTTTATTTGTCCTAGTTTTATCGATTTTGAGAAAGAATTAAAGTTTTGTTGACGTTTCGGTATTCTCTTGTTTTGTGCATGGTAAGGAACATGAGAGTCATTTTTGCATAAGAGATTTGAAAACATGTTTTTATGATATTCATGATATATCAAAGGCAAACTACAACATTACACAATGAATAACATTATTAGCATCTTGCCATTCTCCCGAACCAATCGTTAGATTATCTATATAAAAATATCATTTAAATGTAGAACAATCCAAAACAGATCACGTTTTAACAGACAAGTAAATTGAAAAGTATTCAGTTGCCTAGAAACGTCTACTATTTGTATATGAGACTATGCAAACAGGTTCACTTTTACAGGCATCATCTACACAGATACATTTAACCTGTGATGTCGACATGTTAATACGGAAACTAAACAGCTGTGTAGTTATCCTTCGCATCTGTCTCATATTTATTAAGCACTTCAACATCAGTTCTATTAAAAACACGTTTGGTCAGTTTTAGAATAAAATCAAATTTACGTATTCTAGGAAAACGAGTCAAATAACGATATTCATGGATGCTTTGGTTTAAGGAATTTTTTGTCTAAATACGTATTTGTGTGTTAAATGCTTAGTTTGTTTTGAACGTAAACAGTACTTGAAAACTTATTTCATGAGCTTTTGTCAAACAATGAGTGCAAATTACTGGTGTCTCGGCTCTTAACCGCTGAAAACAACTAACTAAGACACAGTGTGCTAAGTCGTGAATAGACAGTCTGCGCATCGGTGCCTCTCGCATGTAATAAAACACGTATTAAACGTGTTACATATCAGTCTTTTAAGTACCACCAAAAAATGTAGATACAATGATATAACTATCGTTAAAATGGAATTTAAATTGGTTAACATTACGATGCAAGTTAAAATAGTAACGAAATGAGCACATGGTTGTATCCTAATGATGAAGTCTGTTATTCAACAAGGTTTGTATTTAATTTGGTGGATGAGCAGTTTATCGATGTTCTAATGGGAAACCTCATTATCTAGCGCAGTTGTGGTGTATTGGTATGACGCTGAATATATGCAACAGTCATAAAGGAAAACATAACACTTATTAAATCAAAATCTGTTTATGCAAAACAAGTATTTTTCAGGGCGTCTTACGTCTCATTCGTCATCAAGAACTTAAATCAGACGCCTCTACCTATTGTTTGGCAATAATTGTAAACTCACCACCAAGCATTATGACAGTTGTAACAAACTCATATNTCTTGCCATTCTCCCGAACCAATCGTTAGATTATCTATATAAAAATATCATTTAAATGTAGAACAATCCAAAACAGATCACGTTTTAACAGACAAGTAAATTGAAAAGTATTCAGTTGCCTAGAAACGTCTACTATTTGTATATGAGACTATGCAAACAGGTTCACTTTTACAGGCATCATCTACACAGATACATTTAACCTGTGATGTCGACATGTTAATACGGAAACTAAACAGCTGTGTAGTTATCCTTCGCATCTGTCTCATATTTATTAAGCACTTCAACATCAGTTCTATTAAAAACACGTTTGGTCAGTTTTAGAATAAAATCAAATTTACGTATTCTAGGAAAACGAGTCAAATAACGATATTCATGGATGCTTTGGTTTAAGGAATTTTTTGTCTAAATACGTATTTGTGTGTTAAATGCTTAGTTTGTTTTGAACGTAAACAGTACTTGAAAACTTATTTCATGAGCTTTTGTCAAACAATGAGTGCAAATTACTGGTGTCTCGGCTCTTAACCGCTGAAAACAACTAACTAAGACACAGTGTGCTAAGTCGTGAATAGACAGTCTGCGCATCGGTGCCTCTCGCATGTAATAAAACACGTATTAAACGTGTTACATATCAGTCTTTTAAGTACCACCAAAAAATGTAGATACAATGATATAACTATCGTTAAAATGGAATTTAAATTGGTTAACATTACGATGCAAGTTAAAATAGTAACGAAATGAGCACATGGTTGTATCCTAATGATGAAGTCTGTTATTCAACAAGGTTTGTATTTAATTTGGTGGATGAGCAGTTTATCGATGTTCTAATGGGAAACCTCATTATCTAGCGCAGTTGTGGTGTATTGGTATGACGCTGAATATATGCAACAGTCATAAAGGAAAACATAACACTTATTAAATCAAAATCTGTTTATGCAAAACAAGTATTTTTCAGGGCGTCTTACGTCTCATTCGTCATCAAGAACTTAAATCAGACGCCTCTACCTATTGTTTGGCAATAATTGTAAACTCACCACCAAGCATTATGACAGTTGTAACAAACTCATATGGTTTTTATTGATTTTTACACGTCCAGCTGATTCGCGATCCCTAGTTGAGCCGATTTTAACCATTAGGATTTTTCTCAAAAGATGTGACATGTTGACCAATAAAGTATTCATCTAGTGATTTTTGTCTGAAAAGATTCAACTAATTGAAGTAACGTTCACCTATCAATTGCATTGTTTGTAATGACAAAAGACGAGTTTGCTCTCTTAGATCGTATATGACCTGTGTATTTTCCCCGGAATTAACGTCTGTTTTCATGAGAGGGGCCGCGCGTGGTGCTGGAACACTTACTCCTCAGTGTTCATCTGATTTCGCCTCTACTTTTGTATGTAGGTTCATAATGTCTTTTCGTTGTTATTTCCAAATGTAATTTATCATTTTGTATCGACTTGGAGCTCAGATTTTGTATTTGTGTGTTGGCGATATGATACTTTCTATAACTTACTGATTGATCATCGATTGTTTAAAGGTTATACATATTATAAATAAAGGGTAAAACGTTCTATGGACAAAACGATAACGATTTACAGTAATATTAGCACATTTTAACTAAATGTACGTTTTAATTTATTAACACTGGTGTAGTAAATATGGCACCACAGGAAGAGGTTCATATTTGTTACAGTTGTGGTACACACAAGAACACGAGAACAGAATCCAACTTTGTAGTATATAGTTGGCCCCTTTACCCATTCACAGCAGGTCTGCATCTGGTAGAGAACACTTTGATTTTCATTGTTTGACCCTTTATACCACCGTAGAGTTCTAAATGGTCGAAATGGCAATATGGCGAAGGTAAGTGTTTACTTTGTCTGGTTTTCTGCCTCCTACTACACGTCACATATTACCATGTATCAATTGGAAGTAACAATCAAAAGCAATCGCGAAATTATGATTACTTTTACTCAACAACTCGAATTTACCATTCTAATTCTTAAAGAAGTTTCTAGTACATTTCGTAATGGCAAATATTCTGTCAATCTTTATAGTTATTCACTGTGTAAGTGTATATGTTATTGTATGATTTGACATTTTCTGTTTCTAATAATGCGTGGTAATGATTTCGTATTGCGCTTAGCTTTGATATTTTTTATTTTACAATATATATTTTAAAGTCAATATCTCCTTTCGATACGTAGATAATGTCCATAACGATATGTGAAACTCTAAACAAAAGGTCAACGTCCTAGTCGATAATCTACACCTTCCTTAGTGTTTTGTTTTGTATTTTTTTTATTTTATTTTTGTTGTTGTTTTGTTTTGTAATCCTAACGAATGACGTGTTGTAGAGTCTGTCACGCTATCTACATCACTTCTGCTTAGCAATGTAATGATTAGTCCAGATTTTTTGATAAAAAAAGTTCAACAAAATGAGAACTCTATCATCAAATGTAAAATTAAGAATGCTTGCATAACCGTCTAATTTGCGAAAATATATGAAATTGATGGTATAAAACAATCAAATTTTTCGATCTGTGGTAATTAAACCAACCTTATGTTGAAGCAAAATCTAGACATTATATTTACTCTACAAGGAACTTATCACCTATTCAATATCTTCTCTTCATTGGTAAAATATATATTAGACAAAATGTGACGAACATTTCTAGGATGAAGTACATCATTTATATTTATTTTTAGCACAAAATAAATACTAGTTGCCAGTGGATAGCTGTGATATTTGATAGGCTTGTTCTTTCCAGATGTTCAACACATCAACAAAAATACAATCATTTGACAAAAACATGATTTATTACTTGAAAACAACATAATGAAAATAAATACAATGATAAAGTATGCTGCGTCAGATGAACCTGCAACAAAAGAGAGAACACGTTATTACAGAATTGACATTGTGACATAGTTACCAGACTGGATTTCTTATTTGCGCGATCGTCATATCATCAAATGAGTATATCACTACTAAATATAGAAATGTGATACTTTGTGCAATTACAATTTCACTTTCATAGTTTTGGTTGTTGTAATATAACAAAGAGTGAACACTATTGAGTTATGATTAAAACGTATCAGCCAATCAGTATTAATTGCTATTGTTATCAAGTCTCGTTTGTTTAAGTGTCAATTCACGTATTTCCTATTTGTTAACGTCAACCTATTTTAGTATGATAAGAAACATGTCAATGTGAGGGAAACATAACCAAGACCAAAATAGGTAAAGAACAATGAGTTTTTTACCTTGATTTTTTTTTCTGCTACAAGTTTTCCTAATAACCACCAAATCTTGAACTTCTTCTTCCCCATCTGTTTCCATATCCACGTCCGTAGCCTCCCGACCCGAAGCCTCCCAGTCCGTAGCCTCCGTGTCCATAGTAATTGCCTCCATATCCGGATCCCCATCCGTTATTACCTAGAAGTCCCAAACCATTTCCATAATAGCCACCGCCATGTCCATACGAATTTCCTGTAATAAAAGGGTATACAAGTGATGAAGTAAGACCATTATAGTTGTGCCCTGACTGCACTCTTCACAAGTATAAGTATTGTACCATACTCATTAAAAGGTTATGATATTCAGCTACGTAAATATCAAATTTTCTGTTTATTATTATGAGTCTGTTCTTCAAGACGTACGTTAGGCATACGTATGTGATTAGAGCTACAACATTCGGTAATAGATACAGTATGCTAAACATGAACTTCACTGCACCATAAAGCTGTTTCGTCCCTATAAGACTTCTTATTTACGTGCAATTACGAAAATATTACTGCGTCAAAAAAGGAAGAAATTTAGTAACTAATTCTTGGATGCCCTATTGTAATGACGTCACGCTGGACAACAAGGCTGCGTGCTCTCTTGAATGGGCTACTCAATGCAGTTCTACCATTTTCAATTAGTTGGTACGTTTTGCTTATAAAAAATGTTATCATTTATGGGGTAATGTTAATAACTCGTTTCATATGCAGTTGAATAGGAAATAAGTGGTTTTGAATGCAATGCCTGTTTTCATAAAATCGATATAGGACCTTATATCCTCACATGTAATTATACAACATATTTTGTGTATCTTCACTGTACTGCTGATTGTAAGATTTAATCAAATTAATAATTTTTGATATTTCATTTGTTAAAAAGTGATATTCATACATACATATATATTGATATAGTTTTTCATCTAGCGAACAAATCTTGAGTTTATATTTTACTGTAATATATATACTGATGTGTGGACTTTCAATACACTCACCATGGTATAGGGCGCCGAGACCGCTAGCCACAAGACAGGAAAGGAGGAATATTACCTTCAGCATGGTGTTGGTTTGATAGGTACTGAAATAAATCCAATTATACTCACATTACAAAATAATTCCACTTCCAGTTTCAGTAAAGACAAGTAGTACTTAACTGGTAACTATGGCCGAATCGGGCGCTGTGAACTGTTCGTTTACTCAATACTGATTCAAGAAAAACCAGAAGCGGAGATAAAATCTCGAAAGGAAAGTCCTTTGATAATATTCCAAAATACCAATGGAAACAATTAAACGTAAATCGATATATTATCTATAAAGTTATCAATATGAACTTCCTTGTTTAAATGAAAACAAATCGAATATGTTATATGTGTGTTTAGTAACGTTGTGTCATTAACTTATTGTTACGGTAATCAACTAAACATGTGAAAAATGGCGTTGAGCGCAGAAAACACCTACAGCAGTAATACAACAGTACCCGTGGATATCTTAACATATACTCAAAATGCAATACAGAAGAGCCTTTATCTGAAAAATACTATTTCCATGATGGTCTTTGGCCTTACAAATAATGTTAACACAAGATATAGCATCCGATTTACGTTACACCTGGAAGCCAAGTACAAGGCAAACGGAACATGTACAACTGAACATGTAGTTACTACAGCGGCAGGCACTTACCTTGACGTTAGGTCGAGTCGATGCAGAGTAAAGATTGCGAATGTTTTGGAATTGGTTCTCTACCATATTTATACAATTTGCACAAGGAAATAAGGAAAACATTCTCAATTGCGATTCGTTGAAACGCCACACGATCGTAGTAAGATGACGAATGACCAGTGACAATTGTGACGCAGTGGTTAAACCAGTGACCTGTGTCCAGTGCGCTGTATTTATAAAAACCAGTGGTCAAAGCTTCCCAATGTCATGTGGACAACTACGTAAATAGAAATAAATAAAATGCACATCAGTGACTCGTTGATTGTGTCTTGAGACAAGTATATACTTACTTTGTATAACGTCTATCTCTCAGAATAAATTATCATGATTAGCTATACTTCAAATATTTCTATAATAAAATTGTTTTCAAGGAAACTGACAAGAGCTAAACAATATATATTAGTTAAATAATGAACTTTATAATTTATATAATATTTTTGAACGGTATGGGTCAAAGAAGTGATTCAAACACTGCAATTAACGGTTGGAATTCATATGTGTCATTTGAATAAATGGTCCATAGCGAGGTAAATGTAATCAACAAAACGGCATTAAGGCGGATGCTTTCATAAAAATAATTCTCATTCTCTCCTGCGACCCAACTAAATGCTACATTATGTCACATTATCTAAAAGGTCATTCGTAAACCCAGGTCATGCGAAGCTACAGTTCTCTTTTACTAGATGTGGAGAGGCATGCAGGCTTCAAAGTACGATTGATAAGATTATTGTGGTTCTGGGCATGCACAAAAATCATAGTAAAAATCCCGAGTAATATGTTTTACCGGAATGTCAAAAGCAAGGGCCTTGTGCCCGTAAGGAACGCTCGAACTTTACATAAAGTATCCTTTCGAAACATTTAATGTTGTTATACTAATAGCCAGACATACATAATAACCATTAAAGCACTTTTCAGTGTCAATGTTTGTTACATGTCTAGCACATTCATAACGTCATAAAATGTTATGACACGGCACACCCCCTTCAGTGCATTTGTCGATTTAGGTAACTTTGCCTTGTTTTCCTATGTATAATCTGCTAAAAAATAGAACAAAGAAATTTTACAATGATTTTAGTAACACCTATCTTGATTTGAGGCTGGTTTGCTTCACCACGAGAGGTAAAAGAGAAATTAAGTTACGCATGACCGAGGTGTTCAAATCAACTTCAAATAATATGTCATTTCATAGATATAGTTAGGTTGCTAAAGAGATTGACATGCTAGAAGTTCGTTAAACTATTTCATGAAGACATCAGCCTTAATGTCTTATTATTGACTACGTTAACCTCGCTATGGAACATTTTAATAGCTAATGTGCAAGTTCAATATATTCAGGTTATATATATATATATAGTCCGATCTTTAATTGGAGTATTTGAATATAACTTTATCATGGCGTTGGAATTTAGAGTGACTGTAGTTTTTTTCAGGAGGCTTGTTGAACCTTAAGGTTCAAAAATCCAAACAGTTTCTTGCATATTTTTCACGCTATTATTTTGTTTATATTATATTTAATTTTATAATCGAAACAAACAGACAACATATAGATATGTCAAATTTATCTCTGTCGACGGTTATCTAGCGCCTCTTGTAGTAACGGTCAGTTTACATTATATTTTAATTAAAATAATACATCTATCTCTATCTGGAAATTAATTACAACTTTTTGTACGACAATAACAAGCATATTTACCCAAATGTTATCAAGAAAGTAGAAGTAAACATCATATAGTCAATGCCCATAACATACAATTTCTGATCGATAACAAAATGTACCAAATCGTCAATAGACAAGGGAAAATGTTCAAGTGCACATGAAATAGTGTTAGAATAAACTAATACAATTTAGAGATTTTTCTTAATCTTTAAAAAGAAACGACGTTCAACTTCAAAAAACTCATGACAAACGTCACATGCAGTATTAAAGATGTATACGAAAAACTGCATGTGTTCATAATCAATTGTTCCAATGTTGAAAGTTTTGCTTACCATCCGACCATTTAGGAATAATCTTCTCGAAATGATTCGGGTTTTTTTCTCAGTGTCTGTTTCCTGATTAGTCTCTTTGTGATGGCGATATTGATTTCATAGACTTGATCCAACTATCGCTGATGCCGCTGACTACACGAATAGTACTAAGTTAGTGTTACATAATGGCAATGAGCCAAACGTAGTCAGTTCTAAATGTTTGTCTCGTTATAAAAATCCATATCGGCGTGGTTCTAATCCTCTAAGACAAACAAACAATACAAATTTCAAAATTCAAAATGATAGGAATTCAACATATGCGTTCAATAATGTGTTTCACTTTATTATTTAATGCACTAGTTATTATCATCTTAACGATATTTTAACATATATTCTCACGATTGGATTTACAAATTTTACAGGATGCAATAATGTTGTTGGGGCATGTTATGTATATGATATACTGGTCATGAGACTATCTTCTACTCCAATGGAAGACAAGACGAACAACACAAAACGATAAATGGTTTCCCTTTTGTAAAACTGCTACATATCGATGTTAGGATTAGTCAACACTTTGAGGGTTAGTAAGCGATTATTTGATCATGTTGTATTTTTAGTAAAACACAGAAAATTAAGAGATTCGGAAAAAAATATGTAGTGATGTTTTTTTGTACAACAATAAGAACAATAACTGGGGGAAACAATCCATTAATAAAGAAATATTCATTTATAAAGAAGAGTATCGACAAATATGTCATACAGTAAATTAAAACTTTTTTTTTATAATTTATCTAACAGGAAATAGGGGAATGTATTCTATTAACAGTATAAACATGAAACTGTAGTGTTAACAAATAACAGGTGAATATCAATCGGTTTATATTTAATTTCATGTTTTTCTTATCCTCAGAACATGGATAGAACTGTACGAGAGACGGAACAGACCAGTTTCCTTATCATAAGTAATAGATGTCCATATAAGGTTGAGAATGAAGCGGAATGAGAGTCTCGTGTGAGGACATCCTTTTGTTTGGGTTATTGAACAAGGTCGACTCTATCCTGGCAGTCGTCTGCCGTGTGAATGATTTATTTTTTATCAAACCTAAATATAAAGTTTTAAAGCAAAATTATTCGTATAGATGTGATGTATGAACGCCGTCAAATAGTAAACTGGAACCTAAATGACTAAATGTCTGTTTTATTGACATACATGCTCAGCATTAAAGAGAACAAATGTACATGAAATTGAGCGTCAAATATTGTCAATTAATTAATTAGGAAACAGAGGAACATGGAAAATGACAGCAAATAAACAGAACAACACTAACTGTGACCGCCAATAAACAGAACATGAACTGTGACGGCCAATAAACAGAACAACATAAATGTTGACCTCCTGTATGGCAACACTTTAAAAGAAAAAGTTGACAATGATATCCTATGAGAATCTGAGATAAGGTTGTACTGACACTGTTTACGGGGGTGATGGATCGCCCAATATGTATAGGTCACTTGTATATAGTCACCGTGATGGATATGACTGATATGTATGTGTATCCTACACTCACTCATCAAGTTACACACTTATTAGTCATCTTTCCCTGGTATTTCCTGCTACTGTTAAATGGCGTTGTAGAAACTGCGCTAGATTAGTGTGGCATTAAATGTAAGGGCGTTGTAATGAAATAGTGTAAATGCTGCGGCATTCCTTTTTGTTCTTGGTTTACAGGTTTAGTATTTTATAAGTAAATATATATTTCAAAATCGATTTAAAATAGTGTGTTGTTATTTGACCTAATTTTTGACCTATGTTAATATTTGACCTATGTAGTTGTAACAAATGGTTTGATACTCCTTTACATATTATATTGGGAAGCAAACTGATCAGGGATATAACAAAGATCTAACTGCATTTAGAGTAGGTTTCATAGTGACAACAAGTGTTGTGTATCAGAGCTAAGTGGTATGGGTTCCTGATGTCTTTGTTCTTAAAATTGACTTTCGAGACCATATTTTGAGGGTGTTAACGTTTTATATAGTATATATATATATATATATATATATATTAATTTTTACTCAAATTATTTAAATTATATCTTGCTCATTTCAGAGCGTGGTAGGAGAAATTCTGCATATTCTGCATATTGAAATATCCTGTTGTCATCGGTCGTGCTTAAAAAATTGTCATGGCTATGATATTATTTTGATATGTGACTTCATAACGCACGGTCAATATATTCAATGATTATAAGCCAGGATTCAACTAGTTCTTAGAATGGTTCCTTTTGATAAACCTCCAGGCTGTTCAACAACACACGAATTGTACTGACCCCCCGGCCTGTTCAACGTCCCCCGTTGTTGTTTTTAACTCCTCTCACTTCATTGCTGACCCCAAATGTTACTTCTTTGTCATTGTCCCCACTGATTGGGGTTGACCTTCAGACATTACAATTCTACCCTCGTTAATACCATGGCACATTTTCCCGTGTTTTTTTTTTATCCTCTAATGAAAGTGGGTCGTAATGTAATACTAACATTAAAAGATCATGCATTATTTGATATAATATCAATAAAATGTATATTTAAAAGCAACCTATTTAATTTATCTTTATTAAGTAAAAACGTATCAACTCGGTTGATAATATGCACATGCGTGTACTGTACAATGTGTCGTTCAGAAACAAATCCAGCACGTAAGTTTAAGTTACCCAGATAATTGGGTTTAGGTGTATGTTTATTTACTTAGAGAGTGCATTTCTACGCAGACTTTTGAAATCAACTATATCCGAAGTCTTAATTGCCTGTTATCCATATTAGGACATTTCATTACATAGAACAACTTAATCTATCGTTTTAGGACTGATATTTTGTGAAATAGGCGCTACTTTAAGTGTACTTTCATGTCTTTTTCAGATCAGTGACACTTTCTCACTCATGAAAACCCTTTAAAGAATGGCGAGCATATGCGTGATTTCAATGCAGAGAACAGCTTAAAATAGCCTTTTCATCGTTATTTTGTTAGCTACACGCCATTTAAAGTACTTTTTAATCTTTTTTTCAGATTGTGTCAATCCGTTTAACTCAATACTTCAACAAACAGCAGCTCGTCCATTTAATCGTTTTATTATGTAAAGCACAATGGTGATACATACTACGTGAACAGTTCCTTCAGTCTACGTGTCGAAAATCGGAATATATTTGTTCATCTATAAACCAAACCAGAGACATGTAATAATTTCTATCTAATCAACAGATCGTGAATCTAAGGGCATATCTATTTAGCGTTTCATCGAATATGAGGAGTTAAATCCATGTGCGTATAGTAGATTTATAATGTATTGAATGTTATAAATATAATTAACCTCACTAGTATAACTGGGGGAAGAATGGTTCACGATTCTGGATTCATATTCAAGCTAGGAAACAATTTAAATTAATGATTGATCGATTAATGATTGAAACTCTTTTCGACAAACTGATACAAGAGCACAAAAGTAAAAATTCAGAAATTATGCTTACCAAAACAGAAAACAATTTACCGGACCAAGTACTACTTTTGAGTTAAAGCACTAGCTCTGTGCCGAATTCAAAGGCTCTACTATTGACAAATCGAAACGGAATTCACTCCGGTTCCTTCTTCTTAAACAGCACGTTGCATTATCGTCAAACATAAACATGTATTTTATTTCTTTATATATCTTATAAACATAACAACAGGACTTTGCCTTTGAGAACACAGGACTATATCACAGGACCTCAGTACATAAGTATAAGTATACATATAAAACAAAACAACGAATCATAAATTGACGATTACCGTAAATATTTATATCTATGAAATGAATAAAATTGATATTTACCATGAAAACCCATGAAATCAATAAAGGTGACATTTACATTAACTGTAAACATTTAACAACATGACAGAATGTATCTTTATTTTTTCACATGTTGAACTGTTGCTTCAGAATTTATAATAAGTTCATGCTAGCGCTTTAATTACTGACGTCATAGTTGATGTAACATTGGTCTATTAACGTAAATAGCGGCCACTGAAGCGGTATAAAATGCATGGGAATCTGAGATTCAGCGTTATCTAAATCTAACATTATCGCCGATTATAATTTGAAAAAAAAGCCTAAGCCAGACTAAAACGTCAACTGTTAAACTAGAAACTAGAATTGTTTACCATTACAANGGGGGGGTAACCAGAACACTCTGGCAGATGGGGTATGTTCTGGTCAACAAAATATATACAACAGTCTTTAAAACAAAATATAACAATACTTCAGTCTTCATAAAAACAAAAGGCCTCTACAGCCTGTATCACTCACCGGTAATTTTACTTTCCAAAGCCAGGTGTTTATAGACTTGGACTGTGAAATTTTCCCAACATTAAAAATAAATAAAGTTATTGCTTGAACTGTATTTATTTTGTTTCCGACTTGGAGTCTTGATATGTTTTATGTGAAACCCGATTAACATTGTAGAACTGACAATTACAGTTCTTAATCCATAAAAATGCTCCTCAAGCTCCTACACTCAGTATTGCTAGGTCAAATTAAGGCTCCACTCTTACACATAGAGAGACTGCTTCATATGACAGAACATCATAAATCTAAATTGGTACATCTGCAAGGATAGAATTTTGATCTTAAGCAATTATGAAAATCAGAAATTTGACAATATAGATATGGTCTTTTCTGATGTATCAATGGGTGATATAAAGTAATCAATAAAATAATGACAACTGTTGCACAATCACACCAACAATCATAGCTTTTCTGTTCTAAATGTGTGAAACACTGCAACTAAACGCTTCATTGATAACATACAACTCATCAGTATGTCTACCCAGAATATGAAAGTGAGAAATCAGTGAGAGTTGGCACATATTCTCTGAGAAAATAAAACGTTCAAGATTCTCTGGAAGCTCTACATCATCAAAAGATCGAACATTTTCCATGTAACAAGAATTTGTTGGTGAAAATGTCTTTGTAAATAGTTAAATTCAATGGAGGTGAATACAAACAGAAATATTGGAGCAAGATAGAGCCACATCTTAATTAGTGCAGTATCGACTCTTAACTTTCGATAAGATGTCAATAGTGAGAAAACAACATCCTATTCATAATCAAAATACTCTTCACCGTCCTCTAAATATTCGTTTTTCCTGTTTTCATTGCTGTCAAGCCTTCGGAGGTACCAGTCGTCGGGCAGTGTTCGTTGGAAGTCCCGGTCCTCTGCTCTGGTGAACATCCAATCAGAACTACTGTCTGATTCTGCTTCATCCCCAACAAGGCGCAACTCCTCTCTGTGCTTCAGCTGTTGAATGTACCAGGATGGTTCTGTGGTTGGACAATCCCCAGAAGTGGGGTCACAAAAAGGGACGGATTCGTCTGAGGGATGGGGCTTACTATTCGTATCGTTATACTCCTCTTCCTCAAAAGTTCCACGCCTGTTTTTCTCTTGCTGGTAATTCGGTTTCCCTGTTGGATGTCGACTTCCATGGACTGGTTTCCTTATTTTGTCTCCGTGTCTTTTCTGACCCCTGTTGTTATTGTTACTGTCTTTTCTGTGTCTGTCTTCTTTTTGTGGTCGATTCCTAATATGTGGGTCATCACCACGACTACCTTTACAACTGCCAGGGTCTCTTCCAGTAGCCAGACTAACCTGCCAGCATGGAAGCACATCTCTACAATCAGACCCCATGTCCACACCATTATAGCGACTTAACCACCACTCCTGCTGACATGTTAACCACTTCCTGTTGAATGGGCTTAAAACTTGCACATCAATCTTTTTAACAAACTTCTCTATTTTGTTAAAACCTTTTCTTACATGATTAAGATTCATCCGCATAACTTTCTCTAAACTTAATTTGTCCATTTTCGTCCTAAATTTCCAGAACAGTCTACGATACCTCTTCACCACCGACTCTGAATAGTCCCAATTGCCTTCATCATCCTCCTCTTCCTGCTCTTCCTTCTCTTCATTATTATTGCTTGTCCAATATTTGTCCCTCTCTTCCTCCTGTTCCTTAGTATAGCTCCTTCTCTTTGTGGATCCAGTCTGTGATGATCTTTCTTCATTACTTTTTCCTTGAGTCTTCCAAGTATGACGTTTGTAGTTCCATCTACGTGTAACCCATGAACTCAGTTTCTCCGAGACCTTTTCCACTTTCTTGGACATTTTCTCTTTCAACTTTGTCACTGACGGCTCATGTTCCTTCCAAAGGTCCTTTGATAGATTCTTCACCTACAGATACACAAAAGATATATGTCTCCGATATCCTTCCATTATTCATGTACTACATGTACTATGTAATACATTTTGTATTAAAAAATCTGCACATTTGATGGTCAGTAATTCTGAGATAAATAGATGACTTTAATGTTAGATGTGGTCTACTTCAGAAGGTTGTCATGCTGTCAATAGAACTAACATTGCATCTGTACTATATAAACATATCATATAGCTGACGTCAAACCACCCCTCATTAGAAGGGTGACTACAAAAATCCTCATTCAAATCAGATTCAGAATCTTTATCAAATTTGATCATTAAGAGCTTATCAGTACAGATGAAATATGAATACAAACATTCATGTTTAAATTTGGTTTGGTTTTTAATATTGTTTAACATCCTATTAACAACTAAGCTAGGTCATTTAAGGACGTTCATGTTCAGAATACTGGGCTGGGGGCATGATCAATTATATATGAATACCTACCATGTAACAAACTTGACATGAACTTAAATTCTACACCCTGCTGTCAAATTTGTAGTTATTTTGATACATAAAAGGGGAAAATAAATTTAACTTTCTCCCATGTTTCAGATGTGAAATGAAGTAGTCTAACTGTCTCTGTGGTTGACAACTATCATTTATACTACATATATTTCCCTTTAGGACTTAGTTAAACTGATATATTATCTGTTCACACAAACCTGTTCCCAGGTGTCCTTGATCTGCTGGCTGACATCAGACATAGACGACTTAGTTTTGTTGTACACATCTTGAATGGTTTCACTCCATTTAGGTAGGGACCCTCTCTTATTTCTCTCACTTGAGGAATCGTTCTCATCATCACTTTCAACATATTCCTCGTCAAATCCTGTGTCAAAGCCCCAGTCATTCTTTACTGGTTTGGAGTTGGAGTTGTCTTGCTGCTCTGTCTGGTGTATGTCATCCTGCTCTGTTGTTTTGGGGACATCATCCTGCTCTGTTGTTTTGGGGACATCATCCTGCTCTGTTGTTTTGGGGACGTCATCATGATGTGTTGTTCCCATGGTTACCATAGATGCGATGTCCATTATTAACTGCCATCCCTCCAAGGTCTGATTTTTCACAACTTCCCATTTGTCTTTAACATTCTGTAACAAATAAAATATCAGGAATTGAAATATTGATGTATGTATAGAGAAATCATTGGAGACAATTATCACTTATCACAAACAGTAATGCTCTCTTTAATTAACCTATCAACACATCTTCAACAGAATACATTGGTAACACATACCATTTGGCTGCATTAATGTAAGTAAAGGTAATACAAATTGGTTGTGACACAAGGTGGCAGTGTATAACTGGGAAGTTATACTGAAATATGCGACAGACTTACCTCTGAAAAGTCTTCAGGAACAGAAAAATTTTGGAGAAGTTGACTAAATTCTTTCAGCATCTCTTTTCCTGAGCACTTGTTTCTGTCAGAAGATTCTTTCTGTTGTTGGTACATACTTTGCCACTTCTTTGAGCTTGCTTTTTCAAACAGCAGATCACTTTCCAAAGCAACAATCTTGTCCTCTAGTTTAAGTGCATCCTCTGTCCTTCCTGACCCAACAGGATTGTCTTCTGTATGACCATGACCTTCTGACTTATGTTGACTGTCCTCTACATGAACTTGACCCTCTAAGTGTTGATCTCCCGGTGTAAACCAATCAAAGTCCTGTTCTCCTTCATCTTCCTGGTCGGGGACCTGGTTGCCAGTGGTAACTTGAGAAACACTGGGAGGAGATCCGTACCTCATCATTCCGATCTGCTGGATCAGATCAGCCTTCTCCTGCTCCAGACGGTTCACTTTGTCCATCCATTCAATGCTGTTTAAACGTTGTATTTGTTCTATTGTCATTTCATCTCTTCGGAGAAGTTCCTTATGTTTCTCATCATATTTTCCGAAAGTGAAAAGATAGTATCGATATTCATATCCTTCTGTGAATGTTGGGTCAAAGACAAGCTGAAATTGAAAACACAAAGAATTAAATGATATCAATTTAAATGAAAATAACATTAATTCTCCTGTATTTTACAATGATGGAAATATATAATATTTCTTTGTATAGTACATCATTTCAAGAACAGTAATGTTATTGATGTAGAATGCTCCATATTTCAAAATTGAAATAATATGTAAAGTATTTCTAAATCAGAAACAAAAAATTACATTTTAAAAAAATCAACCAAATGTACTCCAGTGGGAAATCTGTTTCAAAGCTTTAGGACTGTAAATTGCCTCATCACATTTCATGATTACTTACCTCTGTGTTACTTGACTTGAGTTTTTCTAAATCATGGGAAGCATTCTCTGTCATCTGTAAAGTTAAAGATAATTGTGGGTGTCAAATCAAAACATTACTTTAGTAAACAGGTTATGAATATAATTGTTACAGAGTACAATATACAACTTGACATCACATTTCATTTTTTAACACTAGGTCAGAATACCGATAATTACTGTAAAATAAAATTTTAAACAAGAGGCCCAATGGGCCTGCATCGCTCACCTGGTATAAAACTCACACTTGTAACCTTAAAAGTGATCTAAAATAAAGCTACAGGCAAAATATCAGTATTTATGATTAAAATTCGTTCAAAAGACCCTGTTAATTTTTTTTAAAACATTTCACCCCTGTGATTGAAAGTCGAACAAAGTCATTATGTTGAACACATTGTATAGCCTTTCATCTCAGGATGCAACTTGCAAAGTATAAACATCCTGGGACCCATGGTTATTCATAAGAGGTTGTTTAAAGATTTTAAACAAATTTGACCCCTGTGACCTTGAATATAAGTCAAAGTCATTCACTTTAACAAACATAGTAGTCCTTGATCCCAGCATATGCTACTAACTAAATATCAACATCCTGAGCCTTTTGGTTATTCAGAACAAGTTGTTGAAATATTTTAAACATATTTGCTCCTTGTGACCTTGAATATGATTCAAGGTCATACATTTAAACAAACTTGGTAGCCCTTGATCCTAGTATGCTACTGACTAAATATCATCACCCAGGGCATTTTGGTTATTCAGAAGAAGTTGTTTAAAGTTTTTAACATATTTGACCCCTGTGACCTTGAATATGGGTGAAGGTCATTTATTTGAACAAACTTTGTAGCCCTTTATCTCAGCATGCTACTGGCCAAATATCATTACCCTGGGCATTTTGGTTATTGAGAAGAAGTTGTTTAAAGTTTTTAACATATTTGACCCCTGTGACCTTGAATATGGGTGAAGGTCATTCATTTGAACAAACTTTGTAGCCCTTCATCTCAGCAAGCTACTGGCCAAATATCATCACCCTGGGCATTTTGGTTATTCAGAAGAAGATGTTTAAAGTTTCTAACATATTTGACCCCTGTGACCTTGAACATGGGTGAAGGTCATTTATTTGAACAAGCTTTGTAGACCTTCATCTCAGCTAGCTACTGGCCCAATATCATCACCCTGGGCATTTTGGTTATTCAGAAGAAGTTATTTAAAGGTTTTTTAAGACAATTGACCCCTGTGACCTTGAATATGGGTGAAGGTCATTCATTTGAACAAACTTGGTAGCCCTTCACCCTAGCATGCCACTGACCAAATGTCATCTCCCTGGGCAGTTTGGTTATTGAGAAGAAGTTGTTTAAAGTTTTTAACATATTTGACCCCTGTGACCTTGAAAATAGATGAAGGTCATTTATTTGAACAAACTTGGTAGCCCTTCATCCCAGTTTGCTTCTGGCCAAATATCATCACCCTAGGCCTTTCGGTTATTAAGAAGAAGTCGTTTAAAGTAAAATATTGACGCCGGACGCCGGACGGACGACCGACGGACGGACGACGGACGCCGCACCACAGCATAAGCTCACTTGGCACTTTGTGCCAGGTGAGCTAAAAATGACAAATATTAAATACAACCAATTATAGGATTGCAATTAATGAGGTATTAATATGAAACTACACTTATCTTCAATTCGGTTTTACTTATACACGATTGTAAAAGTTGGTTTAGAACATATTTTGAAGTATTATTTTATTCTGAAATATTTGGTATCATTGTTGATGATGTCAGGGCTAAAGCATTTTCTGAGTTAGAATGAGCACTTTATTTTATTTAGACAATGCAACCTTTCACTTCCATAAATTTTAACTCCATCTCTGTTTTACATTGTTTAATAGTTCAAAACATACACTTCAGTTTGGAAATATTTCATCTCATTTATCTGATAAATAATTTTATGCCATGAGATGTACACACCCATTCTACACTTCGTTGCAGAGATTGGATCTTTGTGTCACGAGCGAGTAACTGCTCCTGAATATTAGCTATCTCCCTGTTTGCCTCAGCCAGTCCTGTTTCAATACTTGGAGTATTCCAGAATGCTCCTAAGAATATAGATATCAGAAGATATGGCAGTTTACCAGGTATTTACATATATATACAGAGAACATGCAATTCTTATCTGGTTGTCTAACTAGTTTCACATCAAGTTTTAACAAGTTATAAATGATACATGATAATTAATACATCAAGCTTTACTGCCTCCTATATTTACTGACAAATATGTTTTGATATTTCTATCCTAAACCTATAACACAAACAGGTTTTTAACTAATCAAAATAGCATGCAGTTGGAGATTTTCTAAATGTTATTATTTCTATTTCAGTAATTTACATATTTAGCCATAGGAAAAACTAGCTGTTGAAGTCATAAGTCACTAAACATTTAACCATTTTGACATCATAGCTACCAACAGTTAAACTAAATAACAGTGATTGGCTGAAAATGCATGTCAGCCATCCATGTATCCACAAACAGATCATACTGATATCATCTCTCATCCAACAAGTTATCCAGTATCAACACAGAGTAAAGGGAGACAATCACCTACATGTACCTGCCAACCATGTATCCACAATGTATTGACAAAGAGTAAGAAGAGGCAATCAGTTAAAAGTACTATGTATGCACACAAAGTGAGACAATCAGCTACAATACCAATAGTATAAAGAGTGACGTTAAATAACAACTACACTTTGTACATACCTGAGCCATAAATGTATCCACACAGAGCTGCCATCACAATCACCAGTGCGATATATTTGACATTGCCTAGAGTTTTCACAATAATTTCTGAACCTGTTGTTTCTGCTTTGACTCTTGGGATTAATGTAGTTTCAGCAGAAATTTCAGCAGTATCAATGGTGTCAGCTCCTTTATCTTCATCTGTAAAGGATAGGTCAGGTCTCAGTGTCATACATACACAAACCATCTTTATAAGGTCAGGTCTCAGTGTCATACGTACACAAACCATCTTTATAAGGTCAGGTCTCAGTGTCAAATGTACACAAACCATCTTTATAAGGTCAGGTCTCAGTGTCATACATACACAAACCATCTTTATAAGGTCAGGTCTCAGTGTCAAACGTACACAAACCATCTTTATAAGGTCAGGTCTCAGTGTCATACATACACAAACCATCTTTATAAGGTATCATGTCAGGTTGAACATTACGAATATTTTGAATGTCTGGAATGATTTTCACATTAAAGGACTAGAATTATCACTCTGAAGCAGTTAAGTTCCCAAATAAAACCATACCTGAACTGAGTTCTTTTCTTAAATAATGAGAATGGGGATTACATTACAGTCAATGCATATGCAGAACAGAGTTATATTGGTGAAACCTGAAATATTTCGTTACTATCATAGGAGTGGTAAACACTTAATCAATACCCACCATTTAAGGAAGAGCTGGGATCCAAGTCTTCAATTTGAGGCTGTACTATCTCAGTGATAAATCCAGTGATAAATCCTTCCTGTGGTTCTACGGCAGAATCCTCCTCCTCCTCCAACACAGCATCACATGTCTCTTCATCATCATCCTCCACAATATGCCCTTTTTCTACCTCCGCATTGTCTGGAACACTTTCTCCCTCCTTTTTATCCTCTTCTGCCTCACTTGAAGGTTTACTCGACTCCACCACCCCGGTTACTGCAGCAGTGATGTCAGATTCCACAGGGAGAGGTGGGAGTGATGGGAGGGGTAGAAAAGGTTCTGTAGCCATCATGCTTTCTGTCCTAGAGGATTTATCTTCATCTGTCCTAATGGAGGTCTCCTCCTCCGTCTTATAGGAGCTTTCCTCGTTTGTAAGCGTTGTATCAACTGATTTGGGTTCTTCTCTAAAAGATTCCATACTAGAAGGTGCTTTTATGCTTCTGGCTGTGTGTAGTAAGTGTGAACCATCATCGTCCAGTGATGGGCTAATCAAAAACAAAAAGCAAAAGAAAAATGTTTGGAAAAGATCTTGAACAATGGGCACAAATTGGTACTTTAATCAAAGCAGGCCTATGCATTTCTATTTGTGTAGAAACAGATCATATATAGATGTAATTGCTGTTATGTTATCTCATTTTGCCAGACCTCTAAACAACAAGTTTGAGATATGTCAGGTCTATCTATGTAAATTGAGATACTTCATTTAGAATTAAATAATATTTATATTATGTATGCATTACAGTAACATTTCACTTTACTAAACTATGATTATACTATTCACTTTTTAGATGGGTTAAAATGAGTATTCATCATGTGGTTGTTATTAAGTGACATTTGACCTATTTACCTTGTGCATGTGTCTCTTGTGTTGTCTGTGTCAGAGGATTGTAATATTGAGGTCACAGAGACATTACTGCTGCTTAGGTCAACACTGGACACTGGCTCAATGTCCGTTGCCTCACTCTCCTGTGTTGTGTCTATCTCCTCACTCTCCTGTGTTGTTGATTCCTCATCGCTCCCCTGTGTTGTGTCTGACTTCTCTTCCCCCACTGACGAGGTCTCCTCATCCTGTCTATGACATGCAAAGTGCAAGTTCTTTGCAATCATAGTGCCCTCTTCATCATCAGCTGACTCGTCAGACTCTCCTGTCAGGTCATCTATGGCTGTCACAACAGATTCCAACCATATAAGTACTTTGCTTTTACTCAGAATAAAGAATTTAGTCAGAAAATTAACATTTAGAAAATTCCCAATAGGGTATTAATATACAATGCAATAGCTAATTTATAAAGTTAGTTGGAGCCAACAAAGCTATATCCACCACTGGGCCTTTGATCTTTAGGGTTATGTAATAAGCAATCCATGTACACTGCATTTAAGAGATTTCAGGTAAGTCGAGATAATTTTTGGCCACATCAACCCATGTGCTGTGGCTTATACAAATCCTAAAATACAAATGTACCAATTTTCAGCATAAACAGTTTAATGCTCAATAAGTGATATTTATTTGACATCAAACCCCGTGATGCAAGCTCAACCTAGATTGAGGGTTTGGAACTGTCTGCAGTACATGATTAAAAATCTTGACCAAACAATTGAAATTTGACCTCTTGACCATGTAATCTTCACTTTGAGGTTACAGTGTTCATGTTGTATGCAACACACTATTTTTTCATAATCTCGGATTATGTAGTAAATATAACTTAGTTAGAATCTGGCCATGCACTTCATGCAGTACATATAATTAATTTAATTAAGTGTTCCTTTAAATTTAATTTGGACTTGAGATTTGGAAATCATAAATGTATACCTTTGTTGTTATGATGATGCTCACCTGCTTCTGTACTTGGTACCCTCAAGATAAACACAGGATTGACTGACCCAGCAGCCAATGATGGAGAGGAGGGCTTTGGAAGTTCACATTCTGGGTCTGTATCTATAGAAACCACTTCTATGTCGCTGTCAGAATCAAAGTCATCTTCTCGCTGTGATAATAATAGAAACAAGTTAAACAACCAATATACTAAATCAAACCTGCCATCTTATACAGCCTATCTATGCTTTCCATTATCTGGTATGTACTGCTTGCACAAAATCAGTCAGGTATCATGATCATATGACACAAGAGTTTCTGGTATATAAGTCATAATAATCAATGATTGACATTATGCTATGTTAGGTTCAAGATTCTTAATTTAGTATACTTAATTATTTAGTACTGCACAAATCAAATTGTTAGTATCTGATATCAATATTATATTACTGTATTCTGCGAAAGTGAAAGTAACTGCACGTACATAAATTGAGAGTGTTTCTCAAGGTGCATGTTTTTACTTCCACTGTCTAATTATATAAGTGTCTGTATATATACACCTTGGACATTGTGTAGATGAACATATGCTGGCTTTTATAAAAGAGATAAGGAAACCTTGATGAAATTAGTTAAATGTTGACTTTTAAGTGGGTAGATGCATTTTGTGACAATACTTTGAAACAAATATATACTGTTGAGTTTTGATGAATTATTTTGAACTGACCTGATTTCTGTAATTACCAAGAAAGAAAAACCAAGATGAACCCATACCGTACTCCAAGTATAAAGTTCCAGTGACTAGTAGTGTAGGAGATAGAGCCCATACAAACCTTTTCTTTGATGCAGGTCAAAGGTCAAAATGTAGGTCAGAGTGAACTTTTTTTAATACATGACATACCACCTTACAAAGGTGAAAACATACATTAAGTATGAAGTTCCAGTGATAAGTAGTGTATAGGAGATAGAGAAGCCCGGACAAGATAGCGAAAGGACAGAAGGACGGACAGACACGACCCAAAACTATAGTTCCCCCCCCCCCCCGGTTCACGCCAATCATGATTTATTTTAGCTATTGGAGCCAGTGGCGACCACAAGAGCGAGTCTTGGCGTGAAATGATAAAGAAAAACAGATGTTATTGAGCTTTTCAACCTGAACATCTTATTAAAACATTTCTATTGGTTTAAAAAGAAATATTACAAATATAGTCGTTGGTCAGACATAAAATATCTAAATCAATCAGTAGCAATATATAACAGTCTACCCCTTCGGGAACCTCAAAGGTGCCTGGGTTCATATGCGGACCATCTTCAATTTGAAATTCAGAACGTCTTTAGGTTGTATGTTAGATCTTTTCCTTCGGGCCATGTGAGCTAAAAACTACATGTGGCTTGACATTGTTTTAGAAAAAAATATTGCAAACTAGCAATAGTCAGCATTTTAGTTTCGGTCAGGTACATCTGGACCCCTCAATCTACATGTGCCGGATTTTCCTCGGTTCAGGTCTGTGCCTGTCGTTTACTTTACAGATTCAACCGGATACGCGAATGTACCCTAAATCAATCAACAGCAATCCATAATTTAACAGCTAGTCTACCCCTTCGGGAACCTCAAAGGTGCCTGATTCATACTCGGAACATCTTTAGGTTATATGTTATTCCCGTTTGAAATTTGGAACGCTTTTAGGTTGTATGTTATTCCTTTTTAAAAGGAAATTGATATCCAAGTTATCCAAGAGCTTGTAATTAGCGCCTGATATATTCCGACAGAAGCATACACACGAAAGCTCTAAAAGTGTTTGGCAACAGATGTCAAAATCTGGGACTGAAACCGAAATTAATCAGGGGTGCCTTAAAACGTGGCTGATGTTTACCTCATTGCTGCTCACCCTGCTGACAACCTCCCAGGTGTCAAAGTCATCACTACTGCCAGACTGCAGGCTGGACATGTTGCTGTGACTTCGATTCAGTCCTCAATCACATGACCTGCCGTGTAAGGTGTCTGTTAAATAACCTAGAAGGATAAATTGAAAAATATTTCATCAGTTCTAATTAATTACACTTTTTTTCAATACTGTCTAAAACTACTAATACCATCTCCAAAATAATTATAGGGTTCCCAAGGAATTAACACTATAAAGGGGGGAAACTCCAGCTAGATCTTTCACTTAACTTTCTCTTATTCACAATATTTCACAAATGATGTCCGGTATCAATTTTAAAGCAGTTTACATAAATTTCCATCCTAATAAATTGTCATATCAAGGTTTTGAAAACGCACTTACAATTATTTTTGCATTATTATTTTTTTTCATTTTCAAACATGTGACATTATCTACAATGTATATATGGTGCATTTTATAATAAAGTGTTCATATATTTTCCTTTGCTTATACAGATTTATGCAATGACACTTCAAATGTCATGAGGTCAAGCAGTTTCTTTTTATAAACTTGTTATGAAAATATTCATAAAAATGCAAATACATAGTTCTGTAATATTGTGAAATTAATGAGCAGATGTATGCTAAAAAGTGATTTTATATTTCCCTTCCATAATTAAAGTCATACGATGCACTTTCAATTTCCTTGTTCTAAGATGCATGTGTAACTGTTGGGAGATGAGTTACTATAAACAGGATATCAAAGGAAATGAGTCAGTTTTTTATGATGGCTAATTACCAACATCAGGATGGCAAAGGTCACATTTCATCTGGATTAAAAATAATTGTCAAAATCCTCATAGGTATAGGTTTTTAAAAATATATACCGTAAAAACCCATGTAATTTGTGCAGGTACTTTTTGAGGCTGAAAATTCCCAAAACAGCTTCTACTCGAATATTTTGCGCACAAAAAAAAGTGAAAAAAAAGTTCAAGGTCCGAAAATCGATTTCTGAAAATGAAAGACAAACCGCTTAGGATTCTTAGGATTTTTGTAATTTGTTTATTATAAGTAAGTTACAGACTGGACTCCCCTCCCCCTCCTAGACTACATGTACAGATGGTCACACTAATCTACAGATTCCAACCTATATCATAACCACAATTATCTAGGGCTACTTAGCAGCTATCTTCAAATAAAAATAAAATTCTGACACTGACCACGAGCTAATAAAATTCATAGCAAATTATATGCAAACTTAAATCAATTAAAAGGCTAATAAATGCATAACAGAGACTGTGAAAAACCAATCAAATGTATCAAGGTAGGTATGAAAAAAATAGGGTCAGTACGAGAAACACAGGTATATTTTTATTTGGCCTGGTCTTTTTATATACTGTCTATCAGAAATATTGTGTTCCAGGGGAATTATAATCAGCATGCGAGTATAATGATTTTTTTATAATGGTCTGTCAGCTGGCAAACAGACAAATTTAGATTTGCTCATCAATCAAATCTTTATGGCCATGGCAACAAAATCAAACCTTGAATTTCCCAAGGCATGTTACTGGTTACATAATCCAAACAATGGCAAACATAGGCCTCAAAATTAAAACAGTCTCAGAATTTTTACATGTTCAAATATATATGTCTATTTAAAATAGATTTCCATAATTATAGACCTACTGAAATTTTCAAAGACCAAAAACTTTTACTTACATATATTTAGTGCTTGACAACATGAAATTAAACAAATATGTGTAATAATTTAGAAATGAAAGTAATTCTACAGTATTTTTTTCAATTTAAATGCTAGATTTGTCATTGAATCATATATATACACATCATAGGAAATAATGTCATAGACAACTTTCTCTATGAAGTAAATGATTCTCATAGTAGACAACATTTTTTTCAAAGTGATTGTCTAGATGGGTCTACTGTTAAGTTCGAACACTGAAAAAGCCCAGGCCCCTTTTTCAATACTGTAAATCTCATGAGACCTGGCAAGTTATCATGAACAAACAATACCCCTGAACAACATTATTTTCATACTTTTCTCTTTTGTGAAATTTCACATAATAAATTATGAAAAATTACGTTTGGACTTGCTCTAATTAAGTTTCAGCACAGTCAGCAGTTAATTGAATCAATGCAAGAGAAAGGTATGAAAAGAAAGATCCTTGTCAAACTCATTTATAGTAATATAACCTGGGTCAGGTCTGAGTAGACATCCTCATTACATTTGTAACAGGACATGAAAAATCAGCACAGCCAGACTGGGGTTCAAACCTGGGACTATATCTGAACACTACACAGACACTCCACCAATAGAGCTATTTGGTCACCAACAATTGACCTAGTCCAATTCCGCTACATATGTATACAATAAGTATAATCTGTCATATAAATAGTCAATCTCCTCAGTCACGGTAAGTGATACAAAATGTACAGTATACCTGAGTATTTGGAAAGACTAATGGTTTGTAATAAAGATACAGGTACATAGCTAAAGCTTGTGCCCAGAGGTGTGTGTGTGTGTATACACACACATACACACTATATATTTAGCTCTATACAGAGTAGGAATTGAATTTCATAATCAGTAGAACTACACATATTTGTATATATATATATTACACCTCAAAGTCCTGGCATGTTTTTGAAAATGTTAAATCATCAGCAAAAAGTACATGTGTACCAACAAATAGTAGAAATGTTTGTGGATGTAAACACCAAAAGTGTTATTTGTAAGGTCTTCCAATCATCAATGCAACAAAAGACCTCATATACACCATTAACTGCATGTCACCACATCTGTGTCATATATATATTTGGTTAGATAAGGCGCATTTGGTTTACATAAATATGCCTGCGTTTCTGAGAAAGATATCTAAAAATACGTATGATATAATGTTGCGGAATTCAGTTTCTAAGCTGTGGTCGATAACAGATGTCGCTCTCCCCGATTAAATCGTTTACCCGACAGTATCCATATCCTGGTTTGAATTTTGTTTATCAGTTTATTATACCTTATTATAAGCTAAAAAAAAAAAAAAAAAAAAAAAAAAAAAAAAAAAAAAAACACACATTCTGCGTTGAACTGGAAACAACAAAATAAGGGTTTTTGTTCATGCATGATCACTTACTTTCTGTGTCAGATATTGATATACAGTAACAAACACCAGGGAGGTACTTACGGTTGTCAGTTGCATTGTGTCCTAATAATAATATAACACTAACAGAAAGTGTCGTTTTCAGTTTTTCATTTCCTGTTATGGAACACTAAGCTTTCTATAATGATTATGTTTGTGTCTTCTGTTCTCTTTGGTCATTAAGATGTAAAACTATTACTAACGAAGAAATATTAAGTTGTCACTTACCTTTACCATGGCTCGGACAAAACAACGGGCACCTTCTGACCCTAACGAAAGTATTCCAAGTCGATATACCTGGCAAACTATCAACAAAAACCACGTGATGTTTACATCTGCGTTAAGCAAGCGCTTTGTACATGAATAAGAGTACAACCGATACAAACATTCAACCAACGTCAAAACATGTGTGACGTAAAGATCGTCCAATGGAATAGAGACTAATCTCCTGATAGAAATAGAAACACTTTGGGCAGATATGTCATCGGTTCGACAAATATGGTCACCAAGATATGGTGCAAGATATACAAATATTTCGTAATTTAACAGTAAGCTTGATAAACGCCGTTATCTCGAAAGTTATTTGGAATAAAAGTTAAATTATGTGCTATAAAAGGTTGCAATACATAGCAATACATTTTTAAGACTCTCCACCGTTGAAAAGATGCATGATTAATATGAAATGCATTTCATTACATGAGAGGCTCTGAATTGATCAAAATATGATAATGGCTTTAAAGGTTAGTCATCATTGGAACCGAATATAACGTGATACGTAGAGAACGTAGGATATGATTTTAATCAGATTGTAAAAGGTTGCATCCCCTTTCCCAAAAAACTGGCAATTGGAAAATTGTAAAGTATCCAATTAAAATGTTCAACTTAATTTACTGATCATGAGCATTTGATAATAGAGAAGTGTGCATAACATGATGATAACGCCATGGAAACATTACATTAGATTTATCAAAGCCCATGGTAAAAAGTAATTACGGGGAGATAACTCATGTATACATATATGTGCAACATATCATATATCCTTAAGCTTAATCATGGGTATATATAAAATGTAACGTAAAAGCATGGACTTAAATAATCTAATTCCGTGGTAATAGCATATACTTTAAGCTGGGGTTATATGAATCTTAATTATATCTTCATACCACAGAATTAGATTATCTTTTTTCAGTGCTACATTGTACATATCAGAGACGTACATGTATAATGTATTATACGTCTCTGATGACAACAAGATATAGGACAGTCGCACAAGTCGAAGACTTACAACGACTGGAAGAACAGTGCGAGATATGTTACAGAGGTACATACCACAGGGACCTGAGAATTTGTTACAGATATAATATGATCATTGGGGGTGTCATTTTACCGAAAATCGATCTAAACCCCCAAACGTATACAATTACTCTAAACGCCTTAGTTTAGGTCCAAATATAGCTGTGAACAAATTATCAGGTCCCTGTGGTACATAGTATACATATGTACAGAGACGTCTCTGTTGTCATCGATACTTAATGGTATGCGCATATTTGTTGGTGACAAGTTTTTAAAGTTAAAAGTTCACACTAACGCGTTTAGTGTGTTGATTAAAAAATCAATGTTCTGTACAATTAAAATTCATAATATATATATATTTGCATACGTGTAGAGGTAGCGAAACACATTCACTAACCCGCTACCAGCAACATTAACTGCGGATTAGCACGTGGCCGTTTCTATAGCCACTATGCACACTTTAATGGTTAGCGACACATTCTGGAATTCAAGAAGTCTCTGAAGTTCTATTTGAATGCGGTTCGGTCATACTCGTCTCATACTTCTCTATGGGTAGCTAAACCGGTTCTCTAACCCACAACTCCAATTAGTGGTCTGTAGAATATTCATAACTTCCTTAATGCCGGTATCATAAGTTCCATGAAGACCCCGAATAACTACTATTGTTGCATTTGTTAAAATTAGCGATACGGTATCACTACTCTATAATGTATGCGTACGTATGAGTTATTTGTGTTTCTGGAGCTAATACAAATTAGGTGTGAATTTAATAGGCAGACTTCTCCAGTGATCATTCAGTCTGGTTTCAAAAATGTTCAGGCTTCCTGCAGTCACTACCAAGCTTGACAGGTTGTTCCAATCGTTCACAGTTCTGTTGGAGAAGCAATTTTTTCTACAGTTTATCCTGCTCCTTGCTTTCTTCAGCTTCCACGGGTGTCCTCTAGTTCTCAGGTGTTATACTCTATTTCGAAAAACTCGGATTTCTCTACTTTATCAACTTCCTGTAGAAATGGGCACGCCTGTACCATATCATTCCTTTTCCTTCTATATTGGAGCGTTGAGATTCCTAGATTTAGTAGTCTTTCCCTATGCCTTGTTTCTTATAGCTTTAACTAGTTGTGTGGCCCGACGCTGCACGTTCTCGATGGCTATGATATCCTTTTTGTAGATCTCATTGTGCGTTTCTAAAGTATGCACCGTTTGTAGTTGAACATAAATAGGCAATTATTACCAAATGGTATTTGCCTGAAAAGAAAGCATTGTTAATTGAAATCATGTAAAACAAAATCAAATTATTTGGCAAATTTCTAATCCAAATACTGTACGTGCGTTTGGACTGATCTAACATCAACAGATATCCCCTACTCACTGTCCTTTACATACAGACACGACAAATGGGAGAAAACATGGTTAAATCCAACTACATGCAATATTATACGAATACTAGTTAAGAACAACAAAGTGTTATTTCATCATACAGGGCACACGGACATATCCTGGAACTAGCTGTAGACCATGCCAAATATAATAATGGAAGTCGCCATATCCAAGGGAGCCTTTCTAATTAACACCAACATTATCACGGCTAAAGGAAATAGAACACTTGGACTTGTGAGACGCTACATGAAGGAGTGCACAAAACGAATTAAAGCAGCCTGTTAAATACAACTCTAATTAGACCAACAATAGACTATACCTCAACAGTTTGGGACCCAACCAACCAATCAAGCCAGTCTCAACTCTCTAGAACAAATCCAGAGAAGAGTAGCCAGATTTGTCAACAACAACTGTCCGGCTGTGTCACGGCAATGCTGGAAAATATTGGATGGGACTCCATACAATTAAGGCGCCGTAATAGCAGGCTATGTGTGCTGTACCGTATCCAAAATGATTGTATAGACATCAACAGAAACATATACCTTGGTGGACACAAGTTTTACCAAAAGAGAAACACCTGTGATGTCTACTATAGACATAACTGGTGTTTCTCTTTTCGATGGAGTATTACAATATGTAATTCGCTTTGAATAACTCATATAAGAACGACTTAGATTTCTCTGTGTTCAATCTTGTTTGTGGATGTTAAATACTTCATGAACAAGGCATTTCCATTACAATGGTTCACTTAAATATTGAACTGCTTTTAGGTGGCATCCATTGGATAAATGAGGGCAAATGGACAAAGGCATTTGTTGGATTTGCCTTTTTCCAATTGGCATCCATAGTGTCAATTATGGTTAATATGGTTAATATTTACTATTTTTCAAATCTGTTCATCTCATAATAATCATTTTACACTTATCCAGCCAGAAGTTCAAATAGTGTATTAAATGTATACACTTGATTTATGACTGGAACCGCCATCTGTCAAGGGAGGATCAGTGTATCAAACGGAACAAGTATGACGTCATAATAATGGTGGCGTTGCCAAATACTCATGCCTGCCATTCATAGCACAATGAATGCCATCCGAATATGGTAGGTTTATATAGTGGCAGTGCCATACGATGGTTAATACCTTAGTATTTCAGTCCGTTTGGCAAAAAACATACATATTGATAATTCCCATGGTTCCCATTCTGATAAATATGATTCATTGAAGATAACGAACATTCCATTCCAAATATGTACCTGTACAGGGGATTCCTGAGTCTGTATGTAACTGTAGCTCATTCTGTTTTGAACCTCAGTCGGGGGTATACCCACAGAAATATGGCATGTGATCCTACACAGAATCCAGTGAAATAAAACTGTTTTTAGGCGATACAAACTTATAATTTTTGGTCGAAAGTGTGGTTATCTCTAGTTTCTGGATTACTGGCTATGGCTGCAACTGGTTATACTAAAACTATGCTACACAAAAATAAGATTAAAACTCAATTTGTTAATAAGAACTTTATTCAAAGATGAATGCCAATACAAGAAATAAAGTATAGCCGTTTATTAAGTACACAATTTGAAACTTTATATAAATCTTTTTTTTCTCTCCAATATTCCACTTTGTTAAAGAAATTGTTCAATAACTTCACAGTCATAGTAGTTTCTACTGGATATGGTGGTTGATTTCTTCATTTACATGGACACATTTGCAGATGTTAACAGCTTATTTTTATTCTCATATGTATGAACAGCAAACTCTTTCGTGGATAAAATGCAAGACCTTAAGCATATAACTTCAAGAACATAGGATACCATCTTGCAAAAATGTACTCTGTATACACGTACTGACTTGTGCTTAAATTTGTTGGGAGTAAATTGTTTTACGCTACATCCGATTTTGATGCCTTCATACCAGCGAAAGATTCAGCCAGCACTCTGCTTTATATACCAAATATATGAAAATGGATTGCTTCAGAAGTGTTGACAGAACGAAAAGTATTTGCCCAAAATTTTTTAACACTTTCAGTATGTATATACAGCACTGTGCTATACTAGTTAGGAAAACTTGCTCCTTTAAGATGACCTTTTTTCCACAGCCAAAGAGAAGACCAATGCTTAGGTACTCCTTTAGGCATGATGACAAGGAGCGGTCGTACACTATTTCACTTTTTTTAATCAACATCATATTAACACTGCTAATTGCCAGACAAGGATTGGACAGCACCGTTCCATCTCTTATTATTACCAGTCAGAGACAAACCTCCTAGGGAGCACCAGAAACAGCTGTTTCAAAGTCAAACAGATCACAAGACCGGAGACATTAATAAAATGCAAATCAAAGAGAATTAAGCAACAGTGCTTGTCATTTCTACAGGGTGACTTGAAAACATTTACACTTTGCTCAAAGATCAAGATATTTGTAAGGGTGTTAACATCCCTTGATGACTAAATCGATCCGTTTTCATGTTAATTCAAGACCACAGGGGCAAGGTGCAGACTAACACCCACCTTCTATATGCTTACACAGTGTCTAAGCATATAGGGGATGGGGGTTAGTCTGTGCCTTGCTCCTGTGTTCTAGACAAGACTTGATTTCAAATTTAAATCTTCTGTGAATATTAATTCGATAGATCACTACAACATTACAATATTGAACTAGCATCTTCCTTAATGAGGAATTCACCATTTGTGAATACATGTATCACCTACATGCCTAGTTTCAAAAAAGTATATGCACAAGCAAATAGATTTGCAGTTGTTCCATAGAAGAAACATGCAGCATGGTAAGAGGATAAAACATCAGATGGATTAGTAAAAGTTATTTATATACTTATTTTATGGTGGGTTTTTTTTATATCAAAGACAACTGCAGCATTTCAAAGACTTGATCAATATTTACACTCTGATATACACCACTCCGATATACACTACTCTGATGTACACTACAAAGATATTGTATTTAAACTACTATGTAAATAATGCATGCAGTAAATCTCCGGTCAGTTCGAATAGGCAGACAATTCAAACACACATTTTTTTTCAATAAAAGCTATAATTTTCTGTCTAGTTATAGTTCGAACTCTCGATTATATAATCGCTACCTGGGCACCGATCCTTGATTTATTACTCAATTGATATGGTACTTGTACATGTGCCAAAACAAAAAAGATTTGACCAGGTGGTCGATCAAACTATTAATCGGTAATTGCAGTTTCAACCCACCCCCTGCATTCTGATAAATTACAATTGAACTTTCGTCAATACTTCAGAAAACATCTACTGCTTTGCGACCTATATACTTGTCTCTGCTTCATGTTTAAGTGCAAATTGAAATTGATATTCATCTCCAGATTTGTAAAAATATTGTAATAGGCCTTTGTTGTTCCGTATCAAAGACCTGACTGTTTGCTGATGTCAACTCGGATAGTTTGAACTACTTTTTATGTTAGTGGCTATGATTGAAGAGCAATTCAAACAGAATTCACAATTTATATTTGGTTTTGTTCGATCTGACCAGAGGTTTAATGTATACAAAATTCAATTTATTAGACAACCTTCTTTTTTTTTTTTGTATTTATAACTATATATATTAATCATTTCACACTCTTCCATATACTTACAATTTTTATCACATCTAGAAAAACAAAAAATGTCATGGAAAACATCTACCATAGTTCATGTCCTGTCTGGTTGTAATCCCTCTTCATGTATTAGACGGTAGTAAGGAAAATAAATTGGTTCATTGTCAAAAATTGAACATTGTACATGTAAAGTAAATGCTTGATAGATGTATCAATCACCCAAACCTTCAAGGAAAACACCAAGATATTATCATAAAATTGTATAAAATTAAGCATTATGACTAAAAGAACCTCCAATGTAAGTGCTTTTCTTACCTTTTATATGGTTTGTGTAATTACCTTAAATAAGAGTTAAGGTTAAAAGAGTAACTATTAATTCCAATATGTCTAGCCACTTATATCAACTTATTCTGTTTATGTTCCAGTTCAAAATAATAGACATTCTCAGTGAATGGTTTTATACACATATAAAAAAATAATATACATTCTCAGTGAATGGTTTTATACACATATAAAAAAATAATAGGCATTCACAGTGAATGGGTTTATACACTTGTAAAAAAAAAAAGACAAACTCTGCTTATTATACTAAATTTTGTTAAAAAATATCCATCAAAGACAGCAACATCATCCAGAAGAAAAACCAACAATCAAAGTATGAGTTGAAGGATATGATCACCAAAAGTACATGATTAATGATACCGGGATCATTCTTCATTGATAGTTATAAATATATAGTTTAATATTGTGAAGAATTCATGTAATTGCCTTGTTGACTTTTTTAGTGTTTATATATTAATACAAATTGCAACAATCTAAAACTGAAAATAAGGATCATTCCAAATGTCAAGAAAGTGACATTTTATGCATATCATGTCAAAAAGATTTTGCCAAACGTCAAATTGAATGCAAGAATTCAGATACAATACTCTTGCTGCACATAGAGGAAAAAAGCCTGGCTTGTGCCATTAAGATCAGAAGACCAGCTGAACATCAAGATTAAAGGTTAGCATACTTATTTTAGTTGGATTTTTTTTCCTGCCAAAATTTTCATTCAGCAATTAGATTTCATTCTCATTGGAAGACAAACTATTGTACAAAATACACAAAACAACGCACAATAGGACTGCAGATTAAAGTGACAGACTATATATAGACGAGATTAGTGGCAGGCTATATACAGTCTGAATAGCCAGACATTTACTTCTGACAGGCTATATATAGTCTGTCTGATCTTTACCAAGTGATAGGATATATATATACACAGCTAGAGCTTTACTTTTTTCACCATGTCCCAGGTTATACATAGCCTGACCTTGACTTTTAACCGTGGGACGGGCTATACATAGCCTGACCTTTACTTTTCACCATGTGACAGGCTATGGTGGCAGGCTACACATAGCTAGAGCTGTTCCTGTCACCATGTGACAGGCTATGGTGGCAGGCTATATAAAGCTAGAGCTGTTCTTGTCAGCATGTGACAGGCTATGGTGGCAGGCTATATAAAGCTAGAGCTGTTATTGTCAGCATGTGACAGGCTATGGTGGCAGGCTATATAAAGCTAGAGCTGTTCTTGTCAGCATGTGACAGGCTATGGTGGCAGGCTATATAAAGCTAGAGCTGTTATTGTCAGCATGTGACAGGCTATGGTGGCAGGCTATATATAGCTAGAGCTGGTCTTGTCACCATGTGACAGGCTATGGTGGGGGGCTATATATAGCTAGAGCTGTTCTTGTCTCCATGTGACAGGCTATGGTGGCAGGCTACACATAGCCTGAGCTGTTCCTGTCACCATGTGACAGGCTATGGCGGCAGGCTATATATAGCTAGAGCTGTTCTCGTCACCATGTGACAGGCTATGGTGGCAGGCTATACATAGCTAAGGCTGTTCTTGTCACCATGTGACAGGCTATGGTGACAGGCTATATAGAGCTAGAGCGGTTCCTGTCACCATGTGACAGGCTATGGTGACAGGCTATATAGAGCTAGAGCGGTTCCTGTCACCATGTGACAGGCTATGGTGACAGGCTATATAGAGCTAGAGCGGTTCCTGTCACCATGTGACAGGCTATGGTGACAGGCTATATAGAGCTAGAGCGGTTCCTGTCACCATGTGACAGGCTATGGTGGCAAGCTATATATAGCTAGAGCTGTTCTTGTCACCATGTGGCAGGCTATGGTGGCAGGCTATACATAGCTAGAGCTGATCTTGTCACTATGTGACAGGCTATGGTGGCAGGCTATATAAAGCTAGAGCTGTTCTTGTCAGCATGTGACAGGCTATGGTGGCAGGCTATATAAAGCTAGAGCTGTTATTGTCAGCATGTGACAGGCTATGGTGGCAGGCTATATAAAGCTAGAGCTGTTCTTGTCAGCATGTGACAGGCTATGGTGGCAGGCTATATAAAGCTAGAGCTGTTATTGTCAGCATGTGACAGGCTATGGTGGCAGGCTACACATAGCTAGAGCTGTTCTTGTCCCCATTTGCCAGGCTATGGTGGGAGGCTATATATAGCAAGATCTGTTCTTGTTACCATGTGACAGGCTATGGTGGCAGGCTATATAAAGCTAGAGCTGTTCTTGTCAGCATGTGACAGGTGATGGTGGCAGGCTACACATAGCTAGAGCTGTTCCTGTCACCATGTGACAGGCTATGGTGACAGGCTATATAGAGCTAGAGCGGTTCCTGTCACCATGTGACAGGCTATGGTGGGAGGCTATATATAGCAAGATCTGTTCTTGTTACCATGTGACAGGCTATGGTGGCAGGCTACACATAGCTAGAGCTGTTCTTGTCCCCATTTGCCAGGCTATGGTGGGAGGCTATATATAGCAAGATCTGTTCTTGTTACCATGTGACAGGCTATGGTGGCAGGCTATATATAGCTAGAACTGTTCCTGTCACCTTGTCCCAGGTTATACATAGCCTGACATTTACTTTTAACCGTGGGACAGGCTATACATAGCTGGTGCTGTTCTTGTCACCATGTGACAGGCTATGGTGACAGGCTATATATAGCTAGAGCTGTTCCTGTCACCATGTGACAGGCTATGGTGACAGATAATATATGGCTTTGCTTGGTTACAATGCGACAGCTTTACCAACACAATTGAAACCCACAACTTTTTGGCCAACATACCACCTGCCATGCTATTTTTACCCAAATCAAATTACCAGGTTCATTTCTATAATCCGTATATCTTAAATGTCACATAAAAAACTCGTTAATAATATCTCCAAGTATGATTATACACCAATCACATACGCTTTAAACGATACATTGATATATATAAATGAATCTCAGATTCAAGCATTCCCCCACAACCAAGCAAGTTAAACTTAAATTCAAATATTTAACCTGCAAGTTAATCTCAGATTTAAACATTCAATTAACAGATTAAGGCAAAAAAGATTTGAACGAAGTTATATAACAAAGTTGATATGTATTTGAAAATAGTTAAATGATCTCCATCTTAACAAATTTCTCTGCTGTATGTCTGTACCTTAAACAGCAGAGGTAATGATTCTTGGAGATAGATTAATGTCAACAACAATCAATCAGAAATATCATTCTAAGAACCGTGTACAGCAGACAAGATAACCTACAGGTTTATACATCGGCTAGGTCACCTTGAGTACCTTAAGATACAAATTCATAATTCAATTAAAACATATATGATTGTTTTGGTAAAAGTTTAGCAAAACAGTTGCACATAGATAAAAGATTGAAATCTCAAAAATCACTATTACTTGCAGTGGAAAACAAATGTAATACATGTATATAACAATAACAGACTCTTAATCCTAGCTTAACACAATACAACAACTTGCACTCTAGCTAAAAGTAAACTGCTAGTTATTCCCTGCTTTATGGGAACATATTCTGTGTTCTTGTATAATTTTGCGTTTATGTTATCCTTAACAGTTTGGCTACATAAGCATTCCACTAGAATTCAAATCATTTTGTTTCTCCCAAACAAGTAAATTGTAAAATGAAATTCTACAATCCGCAAAAATAGTATCTTTGGAGTGCTTCTCCTGTAAAGAATAATTTGTAATGTCCAAATAAAAATCTGGTTTATAGAAATTTTGTAATTTTCAAAAACTGTACATAATGTAGTAACAGATGCCATTTTGTCATAGTTGCGTAGTTTACATCAGCCCTGCGGATCAATTCCTCTTCTACAACAAAACAAAGTGATCTCAATCATTCCAATTACCAGTGATAACTGTACCAGTAGTGTGTTGGGTAATTGGATGCCAATCTGAGAGTGACACAAACAGTCTTTCCCTTGCAGCTCCGTTGAATGACGACCTGGACTGTTCCTTTAACTTTCTGATGCCATAGAAGTTATTTGTACTTCTGTCAGGAAATTCTGAAATTATATTATCACATATATGTTACCTAGAAGAAGTCTGTTAAAACATGTGTGCCCCAACAAAACATAAAATCTCTTTCATGAAAAATCTAACGCATAGGCATCAATCATCCCCAATTGATTGAGTAATTCTGTGTGCTGAGTTCAATGCTACATAAAATGTCTCAGTATAAAATCAAAATTCCTAATTCTCGACAAAAAATGTATAAATAAAATAATAATGCAACAACTGCATTTTCAGGAATTAACTTCTGTTTAGCACTTACTGTATCGTCCACACCGACCCTGTTCACCTTCAGCATGACAATCTTCCACACCATATCCTTGGTCAGAGGAAGGGAGCCTTCTACAAATACAAGTTATTGGTTTTTTAAATGTCTCATTATAAGCTTATCTTTCGTTGGGCAAAGCATCCTGCCACCTAAATATATTTGAAATGTGCCGAGTAGTTGATGAGATGTCATCTTGAACAAATTAGCCGATTTAAACCTTTTACCCCGCCCCTCACCCCGTTTATTTTGATCCCTTTGGTTAAACATGCTACTACTATAATTTGTTTGAAATCTGCCCAGAAGTTAAAAAGTATATTTGTCATTTAAAGCTAATAGGGCAATTTTTACCCTTTTTATACACATGCTCCGGATGAGAAAATTGTTCTGTAGTGGCCTCTCGATTTTATCCCAGAGAAAATTGATCTCACAAAAATAACACTGAAAATACACTTGGATAATCTATACTAAAGTGTTGGCAACAATTCAATCTCACAGGATTGATGCTAAACAGGAGATGCTAAGAGTTTTCAGAGCATATGAAGAGGCAACACATGTATAAGAGTGTAGAGTATTTTGTAGGCCTAAATCATAATATACCAGGCCAGGTCGGATAACATTGTACAACCACCTAGGATAACAGACAATGTATCATCACATAAGCTTTCTGGCACTTTGCAACAGGTGAGTTAAAAAAGAGGCTACAGCCTTTCACAAGTCACAGCCCAGAAAATATGGGATGGAGAGATATACTGCAATCATATAGATTATTACCTGGTATGGGAGTAAACACTTACCTGTAATTCTGAATGGCCTGACCATCGGTTTGACTTCCCAGACCTCGGGTATAGTCAAACTGGTCTTGAACTTGTCTATGGTATCTGTGTTGCCATAATCAACGAAGAAGACATCAACCTTGAAACTAGGTCTTTCAGCTGTTATCCAACCTCTGTGTACAGAAAGTACAAGTTTATTTCAATGGCATGTATTATAGAAATATACTTGTCATTATATATTTTGTATGTACCAGTTTTGATGATTGAAATAATGTAGATGGAGTTATTCTAGATGATTCATATATTAATGGCAATTTTATTATTTTTAGCTCATTTTGCACTAACTCCGAAAATCGCTATTTTAAGTAAATCTAAATATGTATTTATTTTTATAATATTTTCAATATTCAACGTACTGACAAATTGATATGAATTTATGCTACATTACATCTTATTAATGCCCATAGCAATTCTTTCTGATTACAGAAATATCCTGGGGACTCTGTGGTAGATTAGCCTCGGCTAAACAGGTTCTTTTATCCTCATATTATTTATCTGAAGCTTTTTTGTTTTACTGCTTAGATTTAAGATTCTAGATAACAGCAGATTGATTAAGGTGAATGAAACGAATATTGCTGTATATCTTCGGTTTTTATGTCAAGATTTAGAGTACCATCTTTGACAGACCTGAACCATTCATTGTCCTTCTGTACAGCACACCTGCCTAGGCCCTTGGTACCTCCAATTCTGGTCTCCATACACTGCAGATCTTCCATAATGTTGTTCAGATTTGTCAGAGATGACTCCTGAAAGCATAGATAGGTTTTACAGAAAAACATGTTTATTGTGTCAGAACATGGATTGTGTAATACAGATATATGTATTGTGTAATACAGATATATAACAAACTGGTATGAAATCCTCACCAAAAAATTTCTTTTGCTCTTCAGATAAATTTGAAATGTAGAACAAAATATTGATGGAGAATTAATCGTCTGCAAAATCCCTTTACACTTGCTTTTAGTTAAATTTGAAGCTTGAAACAACACTAATGCTGGAACTCTATCCTCAACAAAACCACAAATGTTTCATACAAGAAACAACTTTCTATTGGAAGTGATTTTCAGGCCACCAGAGACAAGTTTTTAGTTTATATAGCAAACTCATCATCGGTCCCGAATGTTTAATTAGGAATTGGTATTTAGATACAGACGAAGCTCATTACACGGTCAGTCTAATGGGCATTTCTAATTTGAAGAGTTGAATTTGGACATCACGACCAATTAAGCACACTCTATTTGAGCAAATGACATTTTCCAATTAAAACTGTCCAAAGTATTGGTTAGAATTATCATATCAAGTAAATCAAAAACCACACAATTTCCATCTTTTTTAAATGTTCGTCTCCATTATGTAAAGGGGTGTGAAACGTGTATGACACACTGTTAAGGTTATGTACATATGTGTTTTAAGTTATAATGTTATATTAAATCAAACAGAGCTCACATCTGAGAAGACTTGTCCCCAGAAGTGCTGTTCATCAAACACATGGGTGACATAGACCGTCAGCTCATCATTGGCATTGAACGCTAAGTCCCGTCTACGTGTGCCCAGCTTCCCCATGATGATCTTGTATGTCATCAGCAGTGAGCCGAATGTCTTTTTAATGATGGTGGTCTCCGACATTTTCGTGTCTTGACTGGAGGACGAGGATGATGATGTTTCTCTGAATTGGGCTCCACCCCTAACAAAGCTACGACCACGCCCCTTCTGCATGTTAAACAGGCTCCCTGTAACAATGCTGCCCTTTATTGTCTATCGTACTACTACTAGTATCATTACATATTATACATTAACACAGGAATATATATTACATACACAGGCTCCCTGTAACAATGCTGCCCTTTAATGTCTATCGTACTACTACTAGTATCATTACATATTATACATTAACACAGGAATATATATTACATACACAGGCTCCCTGTAACAATGCTGCCCTTTAATGTCTATCGTACTACTACTAGTATCATTACATATTATACATTAACACAGGAATATATATTACATACACAGGCTCCCTGTAACAATGCTGCCCTTTAATGTCTATCGTACTACTACTAGTATCATTACATATTATACATTAACACAGGAATATATATTACATACACAGGCTCCCTGTAACAATGCTGCCCTTTAATGTCTATCGTACTACTACTAGTATCATTACATATTATACATTAACACAGGAATATATATTACATACACAGGCTCCCTGTAACAATGCTGCCCTTTAATGTCTATCGTACTACTACTAGTATCATTACATATTATACATTAACACAGGAATATATATTACATACACAGGCTCCCTGTAACAATGCTGCCCTTTAATGTCTATCGTACTACTACTAGTATCATTACATATTATACATTAACACAGGAATATATATTACATACACAGGCTCCCTGTAACAATGCTGCCCTTTAATGTCTATCGTACTACTACTAGTATCATTACATATTATACATTAACACAGGAATATATATTACATACACAGGCTCCCTGTAACAATGCTGCCCTTTATTGTCTATCGTACTACTACTAGTATCATTACATATTATACATTAACACAGGAATATATATTACATACACAGGCAATCTTACAATGGGCAAAATTAGGCATTACTTTAGTTGATCACGAACAAATTTTACTAGAAACAACTAGAACAGTAATGTAATTCACAGGAAAACTTAAACTCTGCTCCAACTTAAAAAGAAAATAACAAGAGGTCCATGGGCCTTAACGGTCACCTGATATATTTATACAGAGAGTTGATTTTGTTTTTAACATGAACAGAAATATTATTCAAAGTGTCAAAAAAAACAATAAAACCACCTTATTCAATATCTAGCCTACAGATTTAAGACTAAAAATGTATTTGAAACTAGAACCTCCGATTCTAAACAAGGAAAATGAAGAAATTTTAGCACACTGACTCCTTTTGGCCCTACCCTACAGCCCTTTGGGGTAGGGCTGGCTCAAAATATTCACAGTATCAAACTGTCAACTCAGGGTTATAATTCCAACCAAGTTATTAACATGTAATATTCAAAGTATCATTTGCCATTATAAACCATAATAAATTTTGCCCTCCCCTCCCCCACCCCTCCTTCCCCAGGGGGTAAACGTGAGACTGTAGGGTCATAAACCTAAAGACCCTTCCATGAAGAGTATGAAGAGTGTTTGATTCTACCATATCTGGGTCTTTGAGTAGAAGATTTTTGAAATTTCAGTCAATTCACCCCTTTTTGGCCCCACCCATCAGCCCCGGGGGGTCAGTCAGGGCTCATATGTGCATACCATCAAACTGCTACCCAATACTGATAATGCTAACCTAAATTAAATTACCTACAATGGCAATTAAACAAATGTTAGTCCAAAATGTGATTTCCCTATATAAACTATAGTAAAGTTTACCCCCTCCCCAGGGGTAAACGTGAGACCCCAGGGTCAAGAATTTTGGTAAAGCACCTTAAGACCCTTCCATCTATGAAGAGTATTTGATTCTACCACATCTTGGTCTTGAGAAGAAGATTTTTGAAATTTTAGTCAATTCAACCCTTTTTGGCCTCACCCATCAGCCCCGGGGGGTCAGGAAGGGCTCATAAGTGCATACCATCAAACTGCGACCCAATACTGATAATGCTAACCTAAATTAAATTACCTACAATGGCAATTAAACAAATGTTAGTCCAAAATGAGATTTCCCTATATAAACTATAGTAAAGTTTACCCCCTCCCCAGGGGTAAACGTGAGACCCCAGGGTCAAGAATTTTGGTAAAGCGCCTTAATACCCTTCCATCTATGAAGAGTATTTGATTCTAACATATCTGGGTCTTTGAGTAGAAGATTTTTGAAATTTCAGTCAATTCAACCCTTTTTTGGCCCCGCCCGTCAGGCCCCTGGGGGTCGGGGACCAAACCGGCCACCATTTTTGTTGACCTTTGGCCATGGAAGGTTTCTGCAAAATTTCATTGAAATTGGTTCAGGGGTTTTGGAGAAGAAGTCGAAAATGTAAATTGTTTACGGACGCACACTCGACAGACGCCCTCGGACAAAAGGCCATCGCAATAGGTCACTTGAGACTTTGTCTCAGGTGACCTTAAAATTCATAAATATCAGTTAAGACAGTAAGTAGCAAAATATCAGTCAAGACAGTAAGTAGCAGTATCGAAGACAAAATTTATGAATTTATATTAGGTACATAAGTTTACAGAAATTAATTGCAAGTGCACAACATGCTGAGAAGTGTATGAAGGACACACCTGTCTTTGACACTCGTTTCATCACCAGTCACCTTTCTACGAGACCGATGATTAACTGGTGCTTACCTTTTTTTCTAGTCATGATTTTGATGTATCTGTCTTTGTCACTTACCTGGATCCATAGTAACATTTCTGTGTGATGCACCTGTTAATGACACAAGGATATACAACCATTTAGTAAGCATGTGATATCACGGTATGGTAAAGGTAAAAGTGGTAACAATATTAACATGCACACAACGTCATACAGTAAATATCATATGTGGATAGATTGGACAAGAACTGCATGGTATTTCACATGTGTTCATAACAAAACCTATATCACAGGCTGATCATAACTGGGCAGTACGTGATAGTCTTACACAATGACCTTGACCTGTATGACCCTGACAATTCCATGATGTTGGTGACGTTCTGAGGTCATAATTTAGGTGGGTTTTTTTAAATAGCCCTGACAAGTACCTTGTGCCCCAATAGTACATCTAATATTGTGCAGATTATCAGGGGTGGTGAACACAGCGGCAGGCTCATAGGCGGGATCCTCCTTGGCCATACACACAAGAAGTCTGCGGCCGCGGTGGTATGTTTGATCAAGTTCCATCATGGCCCGCTGAGCCATCTCCATATTGGCTACTGTCACCACTGCACTGGTCCTAGAAAATGTCAATTCACCTTTAAAACCACATCATGTAGTTTAATGCAAAAATTATTTATGTAAAGAATGAGTGTCTAAAAGGCCTTTTTTGGGCCCGGGTATATTCAGATTTTCACCTCCTTATTTTGTTTTAAGATGTCCTATTGTATGACATGCGGAAAAACTAAGGTAAAACTTTGACCAAAAGTGGGTTTCTGGGGGTACCTAAAGTGGTATGGTAAATCACAAATATAGTTTGCTGTTTTCAAAATGAGCTTAAAAACCAAAATAATACCATTTCTGTTTTTGAAAACATGTATATATTAGACAAGCATATGTATCAGAATGAAAAATGACAGAAATTCAATCGTCACTTAAAAATTGTTTATATAAAACAAAGGATTAATACAGGGAGGTTGTTTTAGGTAATTTCCAAATGAAAAGTGTTTTGATTTCTCAATAATTTCCTTTCTAGTTAATATTTTGACTTGAAATTTACAAGTTTATTCATTTAAGTAGACTTACATAAATTGCATATTGACTACATACTTTCCTTCTGTTTTATATGGAGTTATGGCTTCTGGACACATATCAAACTTGGCTATTTTAAATATCTCTCAATCTTAAGTGAATTAAAAGGTGAAGGACACCCTTTATATGCTATAAGATATCAATTGTTAGTATTGTATATTATATATATCTACAATACATTCTATGGCTGAAGTGAGTTCCAGGTCCTGATTTGTTTTTTTACTTATCAAAGTTAACTTACAAATCAACAAGAGTACCGTGGGACAAAACAATATACGCCCGTCGAATGCCATATAGTGTTATATACTTTCTTACATTGAAATAAGATCTGCATCATTCTAAGAGTGGTTAGCCGACATACTACAAAAAATCTTCGGACAAAAAAACAAATACTGAAATGAACAAAGGGCAATAACTTTTGCAAAAATCGTCGAATCAAAAATCATGATGATAATGTATACCAAGTTTCAAAGAGATCCGTTGAAAAATGTAGGAGGAGATTGCCGGACAAAAATCAAATACTGAAATAAACAAAGGGCAATAACTTTTGCAAAAATGGTCGAATCAAAATTCTTTTCCGGGAAACACAACAACATATCATGATTATTTAGCCTACTTAGTTTCAAAGAAATCCGTCAAAAAAAATGAAGGAGGAGATTGCCGGACAAAAAATCAAATACTGAAATGAACAAAGGGCAATTACTTTTTGAAAAATTGTCGAATCAAAATTCTTTTAAGGGAGACACAACTTCATATCATGATTATAATGTATACAAAGTTTCATAGAGATCCGTTGAAAAATGTAGGAGGAGATCTCTGGCCAAAAAAAACAAATACTGAAATGAACAATGGGCAATAACTTTTGGAAAAATTGTTGAATCAAAATTCTTTTAAGGGAGACACAACTTCATATCATGATTATAATGTATACTAAATTTCAAAGAGATCGGTCGAAAATTAATTGCACGACAAACAAAAGTTTACGCCAGACGGAGGGACAAACCCATACCATAATACTCCCGTCAAATTTGACAGGCGTATAAAAATGGCATTTGCCACCACAACTACTGTAAAACGATTGATTTAATATATGAAGTTTGATTTGCTGGTAATTTTAAGTCTCTTAGCCTCAAGGAAAGTATCTGCTTTAACCTTTTAAGTTAATCGATTTTATTGTTTAATCAAATGTTCTGCCTAATTCCAATGGTTGATGTCTAGAGCAGTAATTACTTATAACTTAATTCAGTTAATATACACAACTTTGATTTCCTGCATATATAGACACGTTGAAGCTGAACTGCCTTGGTTATAGGTTGTTAGCTTGTATGACAATCGTTTTTCTATTGTGTAGAAATAACTATGCATTCAGTATTTATTTAACATGTGCTTCGTCATAAAGTCATATTTGGTGCAAAAAAATAGAGTGGAATATTTGTATTTTTAAAACAACCTTTCACCTATATCAGTAGTGATCTTGTGACCTTGAACACTGATCTCCTTCATGGGCAACATTGACCTTTGACTATGGTATTCCGTAAGTGACCTTGACCTATATGACCTATATCAGCCTCAACAGCTTCACAGCTAGCTTCCATGTTATTTTTAAGTGAACATTTTGTTATAGACCGGAGTTTGAGTACCTTCCATTCATTCCGTGGAGAGAGGAGATATAGCTTGTTGCTCACACTACTGGTATGTTAGCTTACACAGAAGAGCAAGATGTAAGGGAGAAAGGTTTACCAAGTCACTGTAACACATATTATTGACAAACTTGTCCTAGTCCCTGTGATGGTGACACCAGTTATGTACTTACGTTTTTCTCCTGTCATTGTTGTTTCGTATTTCCACATCTTGAACGCCGTAGGCACCAAATATATCGGCTAGGTCAAACTGTTGAAATCAAGCACAAACAACTTTTATGAAACAATACGAGCATAAATAACACATTTTTCACCACTTATCAGAATTATGATGCACATAAATACTGAATATACATTGTCAATAGCACATGGTAGGAAGAAGTACAAATGTAGTTGGTACTTTCACTTTACTTATGAATCTTTTAGATTGTACAAATGAACAATTAAACAACAGTGTTGTGATGATGACCTAGCCGGGAGCTAGTTTGACAAATAGAACTGTTTTATTATGGAGACACACAAACTGGTGAATATAAAGTCATGGAATTAAATGGTCTGCTTATAAGCCTGGAGTTTCTTGTTCTTATTTTTTTGGCCAATCATTTCTCGGGTATGGCCATTCAGTGAATTTTAAAGAAAATTTCAGAAAGGTCCTTTAGATCTGTTTAAAGAAAAGCATAAATACAATACAGGACTACAGTATTTGAGTCACAAAAATCACTAAATATTGGTCATTCATCTAATGGCATGTGCATTTCAGGAACAAGAGGCCCAAGTTTAAGCAGTCAAAGCAAAAATATTCTCATTAAATATTTTATTGCACTAAAAATATTTCCCTCGCAAACTTTAATTTGTTGGCTCCATCTGTTGAAACTACCAGCAAAATATTATTATAAGATTCTATGCTTTTTGATTCTTCTTCAGAAGTTGCTTGATATATTTTTCCCTGTGACCTTGTAAGTAGGCCAATGTCATTTTCCTTCTCAAATTGGTTAGCTCTATTCCAAAATGCTACCAGCCAAATCTTATGAATCCATTCCTTTTAGTTCTTGAGAACAAATCCTTTAAAATGTTGTTGACCTCTGTGACCTCTAAAGTAGGTTAAGGTCATTTTCATTCGAAAACTTTGGTGAGCTCTATCCCAGGAAGTCACCAGCCAAATATTATAATTTTATGAATTTTAATTCTTCAGAAGAAGTAGTTTGAACCGTTTGACATATTTGAACGCTGTGACCTTGAAAGTAAGTCAAGGTCATTTTCATTCGCAAACTTTGTTTGGCTCTTTCCCAGGAAATAACCAGCCAAATATTAAGGCTCTATACCTTCCAGTTCTTCAGAAGAAGTCATTTTAAGTGGTTGACATATCTGCCTCATGTGACCTTAAAAGTAGGTCAAGGTCATTTTCATTCTCAAACTTTGTTGGGCTCTTTCCCAGAATGCTACAAGCCAACTATTTAGGTTCTATAACTTTCAATTCTTCAGAAGAAGTCGTTTGAAGTGTTTGACACATTTGACCCCTGTGACCTTGAAAGAAGGTCAAGGTCATTTTCATCCTCAAACTTTGACGGGCTCTATCCCAGGAAACAATCAATCAAGTATAAAGATGCTATACCGTTCAGTTCTCCAGAAGATGTCATTTGAAGCATTCAACATATTTGACTGCTGTAACCTTGAAAGTAGGTCAAACTAATTTTCATTCTCAAACTTTGTTGGGCTCTATCCCAGGAAGCCACCAGCCAAATATAAATATTATATTCTATACCTGTCAGTTCTTCAGAAGAAGTCATTTGAAGTTTTTGACATATTTGACCCCTGTGACCTTGAAAGTAGGTCAAGGTCATTTTCGTTTTCATACTTAGTAGGGCTCCTACCAAAAAAGCTTTTCAAATATCATGACTCTAGGCCTGTTCGTTCTTCAGAAGAAGTTGCTAAAAGGAAAAGTCAACGGACGAGGACGGACGAGGGACGCCGCACCACGAAATAGGGCAGGTGAGCTAAAAATGGGGTTTATGACCCATTTCTTGCCTTCCCAACAACTGCTTTTGGAAAAAAGAGTTTTGAATTTATATTCATATCATTTACCTCATTTTCATAGTAGACATAGTTCCCAATGAACAGCATAACTGGACGATCTACATCAGCCATATGTCTTCTCTGATGTCCACCCCCAATCTGCTGCAGTCTGGGCATTCCTTTATGTCCCCCGCCTATTGGCTCAAGGTCTGGCATCCCTGTACATCCACCTGATATTGGTTCGAGGCTAGGCATATCTGAATATTTACCACCGATCTGCTCAAGTCTGGGCATCCCCTCGTCTTGACTGATTTGCTCTAGGGAGGGCAACTCATCGAAATTTGGCCTCTTCGGTTTATTTACCTTCTGGGATGGGGATTGCATCTTTAGCTTAGGACTACCTTTTGACATGTTTCCATAGCTGGGGGGACCCTCTGGACTCCTGATGGGGGAAATTATGGGGTGTAGTTTTTGTGGGCTAATCACAGGAGATTGACTTGGCATTGATGGTGAGGTTTTTTTAGTATCTACAGATAGGGCGGCCATCTTTGATGCCAGACTTCCCTGTGCCTCTCCATTGGTCAGTTTAGTAGTAGTCTGTGCACCACTGTCTGCTTCCTCCCCCCACTCATCCTCATCCTCATTCTCAGCCACACGTTGCTGTTTCTTTGACCAGCCTTCATTGTTATCTCCCCTTGATTTGGCTTTGTTGTCTTTAAAACATAAAAGAGAAAAGCTGTTTTTATGTCTAGTCTCTACTATGAGAGGTTAAATATAGCTCTAGTTGTTATTTTAACTTGCATCCTGTAAATAAGACATCATATGAATTAATCTGATATATTTTAACTTAGCTATGTATTCCATGTAATAATACACAGAATTTTCATGTTTATCCAAACAAAATGTGAAGCTCCAAACACATTAAGGAATTTCAGTTTCTCAAGATAATTTGTTTAAATTAATGCTTGATCACTAATAGCACAAACAGCATCTAATTTCTGTGATATATACCTGTGTCTTTTACTAAAACTCTTAACTGCCACGTCCCTAACATAAAAGTTGGGTAGAGTGAATACCCTTTACATTGTGTATACAAACTTTGTTTATTCAAGCTGTTTTTTTCAAAAGCTGGTTTGTCTGGCTGAGCAAATCGCACGTTGAGTTTCCGTCCTTCCCAGTCCATTTGGTTTAGTTCACGTATAGCCTCTGCAGCCTTGTCTTCCTGGTGAACATGGAAATCTGCAAACGCAAATCTGAAAAAAAATAACAAAAAAAAGTAAGTTGAAACAAGAGTTTACAGAACATATTTCAAGCATTAGAATCATTATCTAAATCTGTAATTCCTCGTTGTTGCACCCATTTATAACATGAACAAATACAAGCACAATATCCATCATTTTAAAAGCTAAAAGGTTTACTCCTTAGCCAGACCCTAGGATCTTGACTTGTGCAAAATCAACAATCTCTCTCCCCTTACCCTCATCCCACTATATTTTCAGAAAGCCTATAGTAACCCATCTCAGTAATATGGTTGTTTGAAAGTTGGTAAAAATGATGATGTTACAACAAAACTGTGGACCCTGCCTCAAGTCCACCCAAGCAGTGTCCTTTGTCAACATTGTTGCTTTATAAACTTTATAATAGTAATAATGATTTGAGGTTCTAATATTTAAGAATTAAACTGCCTTCTTTGGAAAGTTATTGTCCTATTATTCTCACAGGATTGCAGACAAATTGAATAATGCACATTAGCGCGTTATGATTAATTCCCGGCAAAAAAATATAGTTCGTAGAAATAAACACAAAATCATCAATTTAAAATCAACAATTTTAATCAATATATTCCCACGTAAGGATATTCACCTTTTATACAACATAGCTACATAAATTGTTGCGAGTTACATTGATCATCGGTCAAAACGATGCCATTTGGTCACGACGTCACGAACATGTTCTTCATATCACTACACCAATGGGAATTATATGAGAACTATGATCTGATATCTTTCTATTTTGTTTGGCAAGGTTAAACAGTGGCAATGCAGAGCAAACAAAAATATACCGCTTTATCACAACTTATTCGTAGATCGTCTCAAAGCAGTACACAAATTATTATCCGTGGTTATAGGGCCTTTGCAACCAGCCAATATATTTCTCAACTCCAAAGGGAGCATAAAGCCGGTGCTGCCATTTCAGCACTCACAGCTAGGATTCAACAATTCTGGCACAGCCCAACCATGTACTCATTTACAGCTGAGTAGACTGGAACAAGAGGTCCAGAGGGCCTGTATCGCTCATCTGGATATCTAAGCAATCCAAATGAGATCCAAGGGAATATGCCGGACCCCAAGGCCAATCCTTGTAGCATATTTGTATTAGATTTGTCATGCCCAGCAATTTCATGTATGGTTATAGAGTGGGAATCTCAACTGTTTCCAAGTTGTGACTCAGAAACTAGGTCCCTAGGGTTCCTGCCATACCCCCAGATCAATTTTAATATCATGACTGCATTTGTCTCATTTTGCCCAGCATTTGTATTCATAGTTTTGGGGTGGGGATCTCAACCTAGGGGTTAAGTCTCCAAGGGTGGGGCAGACCCACCATTTGTACAATTTTGAATCCCTGCTTCCCATGAATGCTTCCGACTAAATATGATTGATATCCATGGCACAGTTCTACAGATGAAGTCCTTTATAGCAATATAGCCAAATTTCCCCTTTTGGCCCCTCCCTTTTGGTTCCCTCGGGGATCAGCCCCACCATATGTACGATTTTGAATCCCCACTGCCTAGGGATGCTTCCAGTCAAATACGGTTAATATCCATCTCTTAGTTCCAGAAAAGTTGCTTAAATGGCCAAATAACCCTTTTTGGTCCCGCCCCTCAGCCCCCTTAGGGGTCAGCCCCAACATTTGTACAACTTTGAATCCCGGCCTCCCTTGAAAGCAAGCCTTTCAAAGAAATTGTTGACGTACGGACAACAGATGACACAGTATGGCATAATTAAGCTCACCTTGGCCCTTCAGACCCGGTGAGCTAACAAGCCGAGTAAAGTATCTTGCTCAAAGATACAACACAGTGCCGTGACGTAACTCGAACCTGCAACCTTTCGGTCAAGAGCCCGGAGTCCTACCACTAAACTACCGTGCCTTCATACTGTGTTTATCAGTTCGGTCACTCACACTTTTCTGGGGTCTGCCTTGGGTTTTACCATTCGAACAGCCAATGGACCAAAAGGTTCCATTAAATCTTCAAACTGTTCCTGTTGATAAAATGTATGATGAAACATAAACAATCATTGAAAAATAAATTCTATATCGACTTATCATCAAAACTCTAGAAACAGTTCCTTGTTATGTCTCACTCGAGTAACAATTCCTTGTTACGTCTCACTCTAGTAACAGTACCTTGTTACATCTCACTGTAGTAACAGTACCTTGTTATGTCTCACTCTAGTTACAGTACCTTGTTATGTCTCACTCTAGTAACAGTACCTTGTTATGTCTCACTCTAGTAACAGTACCTTGTTA